CCGCCCGAGGACTCCGGCGGCGCGACCTCGTTCGACGCTCGCGCTCCTCCTCGCGACGCTGGTGGCCGCGCTCGATGGGTCGTCGCTCGCGGATGCGCAGACGCCTTTTCCGCCTCCAGCGCCGAGCCCGCCCCCGTCGTTCGTGTTCACGTTCCCGCCGCCGTCGCCGCCGCCGGCGACCGCGCTGGACGACTTCTTCCGCGCGGCCATCACGCGCGCGTACGCGTTCGATCGATACACGAAGGAGACGACGGGCTGTTACTCGTGGCTGTCCTCCGGGCCGTCGCTCGGGGATTCGGCCGACCGGAACCTCCTCCTGCCTCCGGGGAAGACGTGGGGCGAGGTCGCGTTCACCGCGTACGGGATCACCGACGCGGACTTTTACAACGGCGGGAGCATCCCGAACGGTTTGGACGAGCTCGTCGTGACGTTCGAGCTGGTGCGCGCGACGCCGACGCGCGGATCTCGCGCGCCCCCGGGACGCGGCGTCGTCGGTTTTTCCAGCCGTTTATTATCCCCGCGCGTTTCGGTTTCGCTCGCTCTTCCATCCCGTTCGTTCGCCCACCCCGCGCGCCGCTGACGCGCCCTCGCGCCCCTCCGCGCCGACCGCCGACTAACCAACCAACCAACCAACCAACCCACCCCAGGTCGCGGTCCCCCAAGGAAGCAACGTGACGACGGACTCGATCCAGATCGTCACCGCGACGGGCGCGGTGTCTAACAGTTCGTTCTTTCGCGTGCTCCCCTCGACGTCGTCCTCGGCGTCCGCGGTGGATACCACGTCGACGCCGTACGCGAAATACAACCGCACGACGGACGCGGCGTTCGCGGACGACGTCCTCGTCACCGCGGACACGGCGGGCGCGGTCACCGCGGTGATCACCCCGGACTTACCCGGGAGCTATCACATGCTCGTGACGACGATCGACGCGTGTAACCGGACGGACCAGGCGAAGTTTAACGTCACGGCGTTTTGCGCGCACGCGCCGACGCCCGCGGTGACGTCGGCCACGTCCGGGAACGTGCCTTGGGACCAGGCCGCGGCGGCGGGGGAAGTGGACGACGAGCACGCGTTCGGGTGGTTTCCGTCGCACGCGCTGGACGCGAGCGCGACGACGCTGAGCGATCTCATGGAGGACTATTACGTCACGCACGCGATCGAATTCAACGAGTACGCGTACGGGGACATAGTGTACGCGCCGCCGCCGCCGCCGCCGGGGGCGGCGAACGACACGCTGTCGCCGCCGCCGCCGCCGCCGCCGCCGCCGTTGATTCTGGAGAACAACACCGCGCTGAAAGATTTGCCCGGGTGGAGCGAGTGGACGTCCGCGCCCGCGTGGAACGCGGATTTCCGCGCCGAGGACGGCCTCGTGTACAGCTGGAGCTTGACCGGCGCGCCGCACGGCTCGCAGGCGTGGCGGACGCACTTCCGAGCCGCCGGCGAGGAGGAAGTCCCCACCCTGACGGACGCGAGCGGCAACGCGTACCTCAACGCGGTCGCGCCCTCCGACGGCCGCGTCCCGTCCGTCGCGGACCCGACGAATTTTCTCGCGTCGTTTCAACCGGACGTCGTCGGAACCTACGCGTTTCGAGTCGACGTCAGGCGCGTTCTTCTCGCACTGGTCCCCGTACAGTACGACCGCGTTCGCGCGGTGAACGCCGATCCTCGAGGACTTTTGTTCCCGGCGTCTCTCTCCGCCCACCCCTCGCTTTCAATCCCCGACCTACGCGATGCCTTTCAACTCCGACTGACGTCTTTCGACTCCACCCCGACGTCGGTCGCTTCGCACGGAATGATGGCCCTCAGCAACGTGTGCTTCTCCGCGTCGCTGACGTTCGAGACGTCGTTCACGTGCAACGCGCCCCCGATGCCGGGGCTGGTCGCGACGCCGCGGGTGAACGGAAACATCTGCCTGCCGAAGATGCGCGTGGAGTCCACGGCGTCGGACGCGGGCGGGGACAGAGTCTACGTGTCGTGGAAAAACGCCGTCGCCGCGGCGTCCGCCGACGTCTTCTTCGAGGACGGCACCCCGAGCGGCGCGCCCGCGGCGTCCGCGGGGTTGTTCCTCGACGCCCTCTCCGGATACGTCACCGAGTTTTCCCCGGACGTCCAAGGCGAGTACGCGGTGTCGCAGTACGTCACGGACGGCTGCGTCGCGACGTCGGAGACGCACGTCGTGCGAACCGCGTGGACGGAGGAGTGTTTATCGCTCGCGACGGCGGCGGGGACGATGCTCACGCTCTTCCCCTCGCTCGCGCTGTTCGCCGCGCTGGTTTTCATCGCGCGGTGGGCGCTGCGGACGCCGGCGCACCCGTTCAACCCGCTGTCCGTTCGATCGGAAGCCGCGCGGCTTCGGAGGTGGGAGGCGTACAAGATGAAGGTGAAGTTTGAACGGCTCGCGGACAGCTGGCGCGTGAAGAAGACGCGAGACGCCATCGGCGCGGCGCTCGACGACGGCGACGGCGGCGGCGACGACGAGAGGAAGCCGCTGACGCCGCCGGCGAAGCGCGCGGGCGCGGGCTCGGGCGCGGGCTCGTCGTCGGGGAAGTACACCGTGGGCGCGCCGGACCGAGCGCAGGGCCCCGCGGCGAGCGGCGAAGAGGGTAAAGGGAAGAGAGGGTCGAAGAGGCGGCGTTCTGTCGGCGCGAGGGCGGCGGCGAAGGCGGAGCGCGCGTTCGCCGCCGCGCTCGTCGCCGCGGGCGCGGCAACCGAGGAAGGCGCGGAGCTCGTCCCCGCGTCCGCGCACGCCTGGCGGTTCGGACGAGCGGTCGGGATCGCGTGGGAGGGGGTAACGCTCGCGTCGCTGGCGTTCACGCGGAACACGTGGTGGGGCCCCGCGGGCGTCGCCGCGGGGCGAGCGCTCGGGTTGATGTTCGACGACGGACGCGCGTACTCGTACGCGTACTTTTCCTTCGGGTTGCTCGTCGCCGCGGTCGCGACGTCGCAGATGGCCAAGCCGAGGAAAGGGGAGCGCCCGCCAGCGACGCAGCGCGCGCTGCGGTTCACCATCTCGTGGATCCGCGGCGCGATGTACGCGCGGAGTAAGGAAGGGAGGTACGCGGCGAGAAAGGCGCGGATGCGCGTGAAATACGGCGCGCCCCCCGCGCCAACCGGTCCCGGCGGGGTGAAAGCCGGCGCCGCGGCGTCGCGACCCTCCGTCGCGCCACCCTCGAAGCCGAAGTCGTGGGCGAACCGGCGGAACCTCGCGCGAAGCCGAAGCGGGAAGGTGATCGGCGAGGGCAACAAGGGCCCGCTCGCGAAGCCGCTGCCCGCGTGGGCGGTGAGCGCGGGGGGGAGATGGACCGCGGACGACGACGCCGCGCGCGACGCGGCGGCGCGACGCGCGGCGGCAGCGGTCGCCGCGCGAGAACGCGCCGCGCGCCGCCCGAAGACGAAGACGTCCGCGGTGAAACACTTCGCGGCATCGACGCCGCGCGAAATCCTTCGCGCGTGCGTCGCCGTCGCGCACTTCGTCGGGTCGTGGCACGTGTTCCTGTCGTACCTCCTCGCCGAGCCGCTGTTCACGCCGACGATCGCCGCGGGGGTCTCGATGCTGACGTGTAATCACCTCGACGCGCACCGGCCGTACCCGCACCTCGCGCGCGACGACGCGTTCGTGTGCTACGGCGACGCGCACGCGCCGTTGATCTTCATCGGCGTCGTGACGGTCGTCGTGACGCCGTTTCTGTGCGCGTGGTTCCTGACGCGCGTCGCGCCGACGCAGGTTCTATACACTAGTCTCCATACGACCGCGTTCGCGTGGTGAACGCCGTTCCTTAAGGACTTTTGCCGTCGTGTCTCTCCTCACATCCCTCGCTTTCAAGCCCCGGCCTCGACGCCTTTCAACTCCAACTGACGCCTTTGAACTCCACCCCGACGCAGGATTTGACGTCGCGCGAGCTCCCGCATTTCGCGTGCGCGCGCGTCGCGCTCCGATGGTTCGCCGCCGCGATCGCGATCGGCGTGGGCGAGACGGACCTCACGCGCGTCACGCCCAGGGGCGAGTACGGCGTCCCGGACGGCGAACACCCGGGGTTCCCGACGGACCAGCACAAGAACTACGACACGCTGCACCTCTTGTCGCTGTGCGCGTGCGTCGCCGCGTTGTATTGCTTAAATTTTCGGTTCCAGCCGACGCGGGGCAAGGGCGGGACGATCAACTGCGCGAGGGCGGCGGCGTACGCGGGCGCGCTGTGGGCGGCGTTCATGGGTCTGATCGTGACGTGCGCGAGCGCGCCGCCCGCGAGCGCGGACGAGGATAAGACTGGGGATTTCGTCGTGCTGTGGCTCTTCCTTCCCGCGTGGTGTTACCTCGCGTGGAAGCACAACGCCGCGCGGGGGCGACTTTTTTCGTACCCGGACGCGTCTCCGCGCGTCATGCGCAAGAGCGAAGATCCGCGGGTTCGCGCTATGGGGATCCTCGCCGGCGACGCGAGCGACGGCGTCGTCGGGTTCTTAGGGCACTGGGAGGGTTTGGAGCGCCAGAGAGAGGCGTCCAGGGCGAGGGCGAAGGACTTGGACGCCGTGGAAAACGACGCCGCGGGCGCGGGCGCGGTGGACTTCACGCCCGGCGTCGGCTTGGCTTCGCTGACGTCCGAGGCCGAGGACGAGGTCGCGGAGGACGCGCTGATGTGGCAGCTCGTGATGCAAGTCCACTTCGCCGGGTTCCCCGTGCACGTGAACGTCCGGAAGCACTTCGCGGAGGCTGTCGACGCGCTGTCGCGGAGCAAGAAGGGCACGATGGCGATTCAGCGCAACTGCCTGACGCCGCTTCTGAAGCGGTTGCTTCTGGACCCGGAGAGCTCGCTCGTGCGCGTCACCGCCGCGAACGCGGTCGCGTCGCTGACGGCGACGACGCGAGGGGTATCCCTCCTGTGCGCGGACGACCACGACGCGTTCCTCGCGTGCCGCCGCCAGCGCGAGCGCGAGTGGTACCAAGCGCTTATTTTTCTCGAGAAGCGATACTCGCGCGCGGCGCTTCGATGCGACCGCGCGCGCGCGTCCTACCTCACCGGTTTCTGGCAGCAGTACGCGAACAAGTTCCTCCCGCCGGATCGCTTCACGCCGCTCATCGATTGGAACATCATGCCGTGGCTGGACGACGACGACGCGAACGCGATCGGCGACGGCGCGCTCATGGGCGGCGGCGCGTCCGGCGTGGCGTGGATGACGCGGAGAGAACGCAAGGCGTACAAAAAGGCGTCGAAGAAGCGACGATTCGCCGCGAAGAAGGCGAGGAATCGACCGGAGGTGAGCGTCCCGGAGGCGCTCGCGAAGCTTCTGGACGACCGCGAGGACGTCGTCGTCGTCGCCGCGATACGCGCGATCGGCGCCGCCCTGGACGGGTTACGGCGGTCGGACGGACGGAAGATGCCGGCGGACGGCGAAGAGATGACGCTTCTCGACGCGAAGCAAACCGCGGGGCCGCTGTACAGACTCGCGCACATACGGAAGCTCCCCGCGGAATTTCCGGACGACGACGAGATGCTCGAGAAAGCCGCGGCGATTCGCAAGAAGCACCTCGCGCGGAAGAGCGGCGACAGCGACTACACGACGAGCAGCATGGCGGGCTCTGACGACGACGACGACGACGACGACGGCGACGACGACGGCGAGAGAAAAAAAGAAGACCGAGGAAAGGACGCCGCGCGCGGCGGCGGCGGCGACGGCGGCTCAACGCCGACCGGGTCCCGCTTCACGGCGTCCGACACGGAAGGCTCCGGCACGGAGTCCGAGGACGACTTCGGCGGGCTGTACGGGAACATGTTCAACCGCGAGCCGTCGCCGATGGATTTCGTGCTGGACGCGCCCGGAGTGCTCTCCGGTTTAGTCCTCTGCACTGCGCACCGATCGCCGACGGTGCGCTCCGCCGCGCACGAGGAACTCGTGCGCATGGCGACGGACGACGACGTCGCGACGACGGCGAAGCGCATCATGGAACTCCTCGAAAACGTCAGCGACTCCAGGGTCCGCGTGAAATCGTTGGAGTTCATAAAGACGCTCGTCTTCGCGCGTCTGAAGGAGCTCACGGACGCGGCGGCGGAAAACGGCGGCGCCCACTTCGGCGGCCGCGCCGGGTACGTCGAGGACGACCCTCTCTTCTCGAACCAGCGCGCGACCGCGGATCACCTCGGCCGCGAGTCCGTGGATCTCGTCGTCGGCGTCGAGTCCGCGCCGAGGGAGACGCCGTGCGTCACCGCGCTTCTCGCGCAAGAGGGCGTCTTCGTCGTCGCCGCGTGTCTGGACGATCGAGACAGCGCGTTGGCGAGAGTCACCGCGTTGCAGTTGCTTCGCGCGATGTGGGAGACGCTCGCCGCGGACGAGGGCAACGTCGCGGACGTCGCCACCGAGGGGAGGCTCGCGCTGTTCCGCGAGTGCGGCGTGCTCGTCAGGCTGGAGAGGTTGCGAGACGAGAGCGGCGACCGCGCGACGATCGAAGCGGTGGACGCGCTCGCGCAGAGAATCCTGGAGAGCGACGCGAACGCAGCGCACGAGATGGGGGTGCTGAGAGACGCGCGCTCGGAAGGTTTCTCCGTGGAGACGCGCAAGGACGGGTTCCTGGAGGCGAAGAGAGCGCGCGCGGCGAGGGAGGCGAGCCGCGCGAGCGACCGCGCGTCGTCGAGATCGAAATCCCCGCGTTCGCCCGCGAACGGCCGCGGCTCCCCGACCGGGTCGTTCGGTCTTCTCGAACCCTCCGGATCCGGCGGCGACGGCGACGCCACCTACCGAAGCGGCGACACGTACACCGAGCGCGCGTCGATGTTCGAGACGACCACGACGCCCGGTCGACGACGGACCCCGCGCGGGGACGTCTCCGAGCGGTCCATCGGGTCCGATCGATACGTCCCGTCGCACTTGGACGGGAGCTCGCGCAAAGGCGGCGGCGCGTCGACGCGTCGCGACGCGGAGACGGAGGATTACGCGGCGAAACGTTGGGACGAATACGTCAAGGCGAAAGCGCCGCCCACCGCGCGGTTCATGCGCGCGAAGCCGGATGCTGACCTGACCGGACGCGCGAGGGAGTCGGAGGCGCGAGAGAGGCACCGCGCGCGGCCGATCGGGACGAAAGCGAGCGACGGCCTGGGACGGTGGGCCGGGCTCGTCGCGAGTAAGAGGCCGGCGGTCGCGACGCGGTCCGCGTCGGCGAAACCGTCCGGCGCGGCGGCGGCGGCGGCGGCGGCGGACGGCGGCGGCGACGCCGCCGCTCGGAGTCGCGGAAGCTCGGAAAGCGGCCGCGGCGACCTCGGGTCCGCGCGCGGGAGCGAAGGTCGCGGCCGCGACCCCTCGCGCGAGGTCCTGGAGCGGCGCGGCGCGTTCGTTCGAGCGCGGATGCCGATCCGGCCGTCGCCCGCGCACGTCGCCGCGGGCGCGCCCAAGCCGGTGTCCAGACGCGCGCGCGGCGAGCCGAGCGGGCCGGGCCCGGACCGCGCGCCCTCGCGGCCGCCGCGCGCGTCGTACGCCGCGGTCGACGCCTCCGCGGGGCGGCGGGGCGAAGAGGAAGAAGTGGACGCGCGTCGTTCGACGTGGCGCGAGCGCGCGAGCGAGTACATCCTCGCGGGCGGCGGCGGCGGACGCAGACGCGGCGGCGGCGGCGGCGGCGGACGACGCGGACCGCACGAGCGCGGCGTCCTGCGCGACGGGCGCGTCGGGCTCGCGGGGCAGCCATCGAGGGCGACGGAAGGGCCGGAGGATATGTTTCCGAGTTACGGCGGGCGCCGAGGCGCGTTCGAGAGCCGTCCGGGGAGGATGGACGACGGCGACGACGACGGCGCGGCGGCGTTACCCGGAGCGCTGCGCTCGTTGAGCGGCGACAGCGCGAGCGAGCGGAATTACCGATGACTTAGCTACCTAACCTACATCACGTTTAACGACGAGAACTAGCTACTACTAGTGAGTACAACGTAAACGCCACTGCACGATGTCGAGACGCGCGTCGAGGCCAGCTCTGCGCCGCGCCGACGCGACCGACGGCGTCACCTCCGAGGCGTCGCGAACCGTGGGAGTTCGACGCGAATCGATTCGCCCCCCGCGCGATGAGATGAGATCTCGTCCTCTCATCAACCCCACGCCTGCTGCAGCGCGTAGTTCACCACGAGCTTCCCCTCGACGCCGTGCCACGCGTACAAGTTCGCGACGGACTCGTCGTACGACGGCGTGAACGCGGAGTTCAAGTACACGAACACGCGCTTCCGCCCGAGCTGCGCGGAGAGAAACTGCACCACCTTGGCGAACGGATCCGACGCGTTCACCTTGAACTTGTTCTGCTTCAGTATGGGCGCGTCCCCGGTCGCTTTCAGCAGGACGACGACCTTAGCGGCGGCGGCGGCGGAGGGGCCCGACGCGGTCGCGTCGTCGCCCTCGCGCGCGGACATCGCGACCGCGGCGCCGCGCGTTGACCTGTGGCGTGCGAGATTTCACGAGATTTATTGATGAGCGCGCGGCTCGTCACCGGCAGCGGCAGCGACTTTTCAAAACGGCGATCGGCACCTGTTGGATCAACACAACGACGACGACGACGACGACGACGACGACGACGCGCGGCCGCCGCGGGGCCTCCTCGTCGACACCGCCGCGATGGACGACGAGATCGCGCGCGTCCTCGTCGCGAGCATGAGCTCGGACGCGAGCGCGCGGCAGACCGCGGAGGCGCAGCTGACGCAGGGCGGGACCCAGCCCGGGTTCGGCGTCGGGCTCGCGCGCGTGTCCCTGAATCAGGCGCTGCCGTACGGCACCAGGCAGCTCGCCGCGGTCGTCCTGAAGAAGTACGTCAAGGAGCACTGGCAAGAGGGCGAAGGCAGGCACGTCCCGCCGCAGACGTCGGACGAGGAGAAGGCGGCGATGCGCGAGATCCTCCCCGCGGGTTTGGGCGATCCGATCGCGAAGATTCGCACCGCGGTCGGGATGGCGATCGCGTCGATAGCAGCCTGGGACTGGCCGCACGCGTGGCCCGCGCTGACGCCGACGCTGTTGAACGCGGTGAAAGCGCGCCAGAGCGAAGACGCGGTCCTCGGCGCGCTGCGATGCCTCCAGATGATCTGCGTGGACATGGAAGAGGCGCAGATCCCTCAGGTGGTGCCCTCGCTCCTCCCGGAGCTCCACGCCATCGTCGCGTCGCCGCCGGAGGTCTTCTCCCTCGCGCTCAAACGCCGCGCGCTCGCGGTGCTGCACTCGTGCCTCACCACCCTCGGGATGATGTCCGCCGCGAAGCAGCGCGCGGTGAGGGACCTGATGATTCCGCTCCTGCCGCCGTGGTTGGATTTTTTCTCGCGCGCGCTCGCGACGGCTCCCGCCGCCGACGCCCCGGAGCAGTGCTCGTTCGTCCTCGAGGCGCTGCGATGCCTCGCGCCGACGGTGATGTACTTCGCGAAGCCCGCGGGCGACGCGATCCTGCCTCCTCTGCGCGCCGCGGCGACGCTGTTCCACGCCCTCGCGGGCGCGTACGAGGCGAACCACGTCGACGCGGAGAGCGACGCGGAGCGAGACAGGCGCGTTTGTTTTTTCTCGCACCGGTCCCCGTACGACCGCGTCGCCGCGGTGAACTTCATTCCTTGAGGACTTTCTCTCCCGGCGCATCTCTCCGCGCACACCTCGGTTTCGATCCCCACACACCGCGCGCGACGCCTTTCAACTCCACCCCTGACGCCTTTCGACTCCACCCCGACGTTCGTCGCTTCGAACGATGGACCCTCGACCCGCCGCAGCGACGGCGAGGACGCGTCCGTCGCGCACGTGGTGCTCCAACTCCTCGAGCTCGTGATGACGCTCGTGGAGCACCCTCGACTCTCCGCGACGCTCGAGAGCGGCCTAGCCGAGATGATATACCGCGCGATCGGGTACATGCGCATGACTGCGAGCCAGGAGGAGAGCTGGGGCGACGATCCGAATCAATACGTCGCGGACGAGGACGACGACATGTCGTCGGCGCGCGCGACGTGCGGGATGTTACTCGACGAGCTCGTCGACCGGTTCGGCGACGACGCGCAGCGCGCCTTGTCCGTCGCGGTCGAGCGGCGGCTGAGCGAGGCGGAGCTCGCGCGAGCGAACGGGGAGGCGAACTGGTGGAAGACGCGCGAGGCGACGCTGCTCGCGGTGGGCGTGGTGTCGGACGCGTTGATCGAGGGCGAAGCCGCCGCGCGTTCGGAGAACGTCGCGCCGAGCTTCGCGGCGTCGGTGTTCCTCGCCAACGTCCTCGAGCGCGACCTCTCGAGCGGCGCGACGGCGGCGGGCGCGGTAACGGACGGCGGCGAGTCGTTTCTGCGCGGGAGGGCGCTCTGGGTCGCCGCGAGGCTCGCGCCGGGCGCGCCGCCGGCGGCGGCGGGCGCCGCGCTCGCCGCCGCGTTGGCGTCGCTGCGACCGACCGCGTCCGCGCCGCTGCGCGTCGGCGCGTGCCGCGCGCTCGCGCAGTACGTCCCGCTCGCGCCGAAGGACGTCTTGCGGCCGTTCCTCGCGCCCGCGTACCAAGGCTTGGGGTCGCTGCTCGAGTCCGCCGCGGGGAGCACAGCTGGCGCGGGGAGCGGCGACGCGTTGGAGGATGGCTACGCGGAGGACGCGCTCCACCTGGTGCTCGAGGCGATGCTCGTCGTCGTGAAAGCGGACGCGGACGCCGCGACGCAGTGGTCCTCCGCGCTCGCGCCCGCAACGTTGCGCGTCTGGGCGGAAAAAGTCGCGGACCCGTTGCTCGCCGCGGACGCGCGCGACGTTCTGGAGGCGCTCGCGGCGGTGCCCGCGTGCGTGCCCTCGCTGCACGCGCTCGCCGTGCCGACGCTCGCGTCCGTGCTCGCGTCGCCGGCGACGCAGCCGCCGATGCTCGTGGAGTCGACGCTGGATCTGCTCGCGGTGCTGCTGCGCCCCGCGGCCGCGAGCGAGGCGCACGCCGCGCACGCGGCGTGCTTCCGCCACGTCGTCGCGATCGCGTTGACGTCGGACGACGTCGGCGCGTTGCAGAGCGCCGCGGAGTGCCTTCGCGCGTTTCTCCGCGCCGGCGGCGACGACGCGTTGCTGTGGGGGGTCGACGGTCAGGGCGGCGGCGGCGACGTGCTGCGACAGTACCTCGACGCCGCGGCGAGGCTGCTGTCGCCGAGCCTCGAGGACGGCGCCGCGGTGTTCGCCGCGCCGCTCCTCGGGCAGATGTTGCGCCGGCTTCCGACGCGGATGGCGCCGGTGTTGCCGGAGATTGTGTCGGCGACGGCGACGCGAATTCGCGCGGCGAGGCAGCCGAACCTGATCGCGGCGCTGCTGAGCGTCTTCGCGAGGCTCGCGCACGCGGACGCGAACGCGCTCGTGGCGTTGCTCGCGAGCATGCCCGCGCCGCCGGCGCCGAGCGGCCAACACTCCGAGGAGGGCGCGGATGGGATCCCGCCGCCGACGACGGCGCTCGAGCTCGTGACGCGGTTGTGGATCGCGCACCAGTCGGACGTCCAGGGCGCGTTCGACATCAAGCTCACGACGAGCGCGCTGGCGGTGCTGCTCGCGAGCGGGAACCCGACGCTGGGGAGCGTCGGCGTGAAGGGCGAGCCGGTGGCGCCGGAGGGAGGAGGAGGAGGGCAGAACGGCGGCGCGGCGATTCGAACGCGCGCGAGGGCGAAAGCGGCGGGGCCGGAGAAGTTCTCGCTCGCGCCGCTCCCCGTGAAGATGCTCGACGCGCTCGCGGACTTTGTCTTGGAGGCGCAGGAGGCGGCGAGCGCGAGGGAGGACGACGAGTGGGAGGACGGCGACGGGGATGAGGACGACGACGACGACGACGACGACGACGAAGGCGGCGGCGGCGGCGGCGGCATCGGCGGAATGTTCGGCGGGGATTTACTCGAGCGGCTGCTGAACAAAGGGCTCGACGACGTGGACGACGACGACGCGGACGAGACGGAGGACCCGATCAGCGCGATCGACACGCAGGCGTTCATCGCGGAGAGGTTGAAAGCGTTGCACGCGGTCGGGCAGCTCGCGCCGTTGGCCGCGGGCGTCAACCCGAGGCGGCAGCGCGCGCTCATGACGCTCTTGCGGTGACGCGAAGCGAAGCGACCCCGCGATTCATTCGAGCGCGCGCGCGTGATCATTCGTTAAATTGCTAAGCACATGCGCACCTCGTGCTCTCTCACTAGCCGCGCCGGGTCCTTCACGACCTCGACGCGGACTTTATCCACGTCCCCCGCGCCGTACACGCGGTAGATGTGGTAGCTCTTCGACACCCCCGGTTTTTGCGCGAAGTCCCACTCCCACGGCGACATCTCGAACACGTTCTTGTCCCCGAACTTGGTCGTCTTCACCTCCACGAAGATCGTCTCCGCGCCGTCCGCGCTCTCGAGCTTGATGTCGTAGAAGCTCTTGGTCTCTTTCTCCTCGTTCATCCACGTGACGCGCCAGCCGACGTGCCGGGAGAGCAGGTAGTGATACACGAGCGATTCGCCCCATCGTCCCACCGCGCGGTTGTCCGATATTTCGACGTCGTTCCACCACGGGCAGTGCGCCCGCACGTCCGCGGTGGAGATCTTCGTCGGGAAGACCGTCCTCGAGGAGGACGCGCTCACGGCGAGCCGGCCTTCGAAAGGGGCGCGCGCGGTCGTTTTCCGCCTCTTCCCCGGAGCCGCCGGTATGTCGTCGCCGTCGCCGCCGCGGTTTTCCTTCGCGTTCTCACCGCGAGCGTCAGTCGTCTCGGGCGCCGCCTCCTCCGCGTTCTCCTCCGTGGGGGGCTCGCCTTCGACGTCGTCTTCATCGTCTTCTTCACCCGCCGACGTCTTCGCGTCCTCGTCCTCGGCGTCGCCGGTGAGATCGAACACCTTCGCGCGATACCTCCCGCCGCCCAGGTGCACCATCGCGTACTCCGTCGCGGCGGCGATAACCTCCTCGTCGACGCCCGGCCACTCCGCGCGAATCGCGCTCAGTGCCTTCGCGCGGCTCGGGCGCCACGGCGTCTCGAGCCGCTTCACGACGCGCGCGACGAAGGCTTTCGCCTTGGCGTCTCGGGGCTCTTTCAGACGCGGCGGCGGCGGCGGTCGCGTCTCCGCCTTCGCGGCTCTCTCCGCGCGTTCCGCGCGCGCTTCCGCGGCTTTCGCCTCGTCGGCGAGCGCGCGTTCCGTCTTACTCCGCGCGTTATCGACGTGCGCGGCCATCTGCATCTCGGGGAAGTCGCGCACGGGCACGTCCCAGTTGATGTACACGCCGTTATCGATATCCCAATCTTCTTCTTTTCCATCTTCAAAATATCCTTTTTCGTCGTCTAGACGCCTGACGAAATCCCGGTATGTGTCCCCATCTGAGAGGCTGTGATTCTCGAGAAGCCAGCGCAGGTGCCGAAGCACGCAACCGAGATCACGGATGGGGTCCGCCTTGTGAACCCCTGCAATCGAACCCCCCACCATCGTCGGGAATTCCACCATCGACGGGAATCTACTCGCGACCGCGGGGATGGCCGAGAACGGGCCCAAGCCGAAGTCTGTGAAATAATAGGCGCGCGACTGCGTCTCCGTCTTCGGCGGCGTCGCTCCGGCGTCGGCGGCACGGGAAGACGAGATTATCGACGAACGCGCGCGCGCGGCGGGCGACGCGCCTGAGGCTGACGTTGACTTCGCGGGCTCCTCGTCGATGACGATCTCTTCGGGATTCGCGTCGTCTCCGTCCGCGCGCGGCGGTCGGAACATCCCGAAGCCGTTCAACATCGTCACGAGCTCGCGCTCGAGGGCATGGTAGCACGCGACGCAGCGCATCGCGAAGAACGCGGCGAGGTGCGCGTCTATGAGCTGCTGCGCGCGCCACACGCGCGCGAGCTCTTTCGATTGTTTCGTCGGATTCGACGCGCCGAGCTGATCGAGGCGCGTCGCCCCGTGCATCGCGCACACCTCCGCGGCGACCGCGCCGTACGAGCAGTATTGCCATCGCCGCACGATGGCCTCGATCGCGCGCGCGCTGTCGCGCTCGAGCTCGGCGTTCGTCAGCGGAGGCACGTGCGGCGGCGGCGGAGGCGGATGGAGTCGTGGTGGTTCTAATTCTAATGATCGTGTCGGCACCATGTCGATCGACGCGATGCCGCCGCCGGGCCGCTTCGCCCGGCCGCGGGTTTACGTCTGCGTCGACGCGAGCGGTCGCGTTCGCGTTCTATCGTCCCGCGCGCGCGGTGCGCATCTTTACGTCCGAGCGCTCGGACGTGGGCGGTCCGGTAATGGAGCGCGCAATCTCGTTCGCAGAAATTTTGTTACGCGCGTCTCGGAAAATGCAATCCGCCGCGCGTTCCTCATCACTCGGCGGCGCGCCGCGCACGCGCGAGTCGCCGCGGTCGAACGTCATGGGGACGGGCCCAAGAGGCGGGCGGCGCGTGCGCGAGGCCGCGGAGGCGGCCGCGGCGGCGGCGTCGGATGCGTCGCGTAAGGAGGCGGCCGCCGCCGTCGTCGACGCGCCGCCCCTCGCGAAAAAGCCGAGACGACCGCCGAACCCGAGCGCGGCGCCGACGGTCGTCGACCCCGCGGACGTCGCGCGAAAGTCCGCGGCGATCCTCGAGAAGAGAGGCTACGCCGCCGCGGCCGTCGCGCGCGCGTGCGCCGCGCACGCGCCGTCCGACGACGACGCGTCGCAGCCGTTCAACGAGCAGAAGCGGCGATTCGTCGCGGCGGCGAGCGAATGGATGCTACGAAACTCGGAGTTGTTCGCGCTCCCGAAGGACGTCGTCGAGGACGCGAGAGCGCGAAGAGAGCAGCAGGCTTCCGCTGGAGAAGGCGAGCATCGCGCGCGGCGCGCGCTCGAGACCAGCCTGGCGGTGAACGACGGCGCGCGCCTGAGCGACCGCGCGCGGAGGCTCATCGCGAACGGCATCCTGCCGATCGAGGAAGAACACCTCGCGGCGGCGAGCGCGAGCGGGGAGAACGCGAACGCGAACGCCGCGGCGACCGCCGCGACGACGACGACGCGCGGTGCCAAGGGCGCGGACGCGCAAGATCGCGACCGCACGGGTCTCAGCATCCGCGCGCGACGTCTCGAGAGAGCGGCGGCGCGGGCGCGAGACCTGTGCGCGTTCGTCGCGACGGGCGCGCCGTGTCCGCGCGGCGACGCGTGCAGACGGCTCCACGACGTCGACGCGTACCTCGCGAATAAGCCCACGGACGTGCCCGACCGCGTCTGTCCGCACGTCGAGCGCGGTCTGAGATGTCCTCACGGGCTGCGGTGCCGGTTCGCGGGCACGCACGCGGAAGACGAAGCGGCGCCGGGGAAGGTCAGGAAGACGACGCCGGCGGGCGACGACGAAAGCGAAACGTTCGCGTACGGTTTCGAGCGGAACGCGCTCGGGGACGACCTGCAGCGCGCGCTCGCGCGCAACGCCCGCGCGCTCCCGCGCAGCGACGCGGTCCTTCGCGAGATGGATATCGAGCTGCGATGCTTATCGCGCGCGCAGGCGGCGGTGAGAAACGGCGCGCGCGCGGGCGTTACTTCTCGGGGCGGCCATCTCGGCGCGCGCGAACCGCCGTCGGACACCAACCCCCGCGACGGCGCGCGGCGCGTCGACTTCCGCGGAAAGCTCTACGTCGCGCCGCTCACGACGGTGGGGAACCTGCCGTTCCGACGCGTGTGCGTGGGCCTCGGCGCGGACGTCACCATCTCCGAGATGGCGATGGCGTCCAACGTCCTCAAGGGCGACCGCGGCGAGTGGGCGCTGTTGCGGCGGCACCCGTCGGAGAAACTCTTCGGCGCGCAGGTGTGCACACTGGTCCCCATACGACCGCGTTGGCGTGGTGAACGCCGATCCTTAAGGACTTTTCCCGGCGTCTCTCTGCGCCCACCCCTCGCTTTCAATCCCCGCTCTCGACGCCTTTCAACTCCGTCTGACGCCTTTGAACTCCACCCCGACGTTCGCTCGCACGCACAGGTGTGCGGCGGCTGGCCGGACCTCCTCGCGCGCTGCGGCGAGCTCCTCGACGACGAGCTCGACTGCGACTTCGTGGACGTCAACATGGGGTGCCCGATCGACGGCGTGTGCGCGAAAGGCGCGGGGAGTTCGCTGTTGAGAGACGCCGAGGGGGTGGCGCGGATGGAGCGCGTCGTTCGCGCGGCGTCGCGGTCGATGCGTCGCGCGCCGTTGACGATAAAACTGCGCATGGGATACGACGACGACCCGTCGAAGCACGTCGCGCACGAGATCGTCGCGCGCGCGAAGAGCTGGGGCGCGCACGCGGTGACGCTGCACGGCCGCACGCGGCAGCAGCGGTATTCGCGCGCGGCGGATTGGGCGTACGTCGAGCGTTGCGCGGCGGCGGCGCGCGAGACGTCGACCCCCCTCATCGGCAACGGCGACGTCTTCTCGAGCGCGGATTACGAGCGTCACATGTCCAGCGGGTCGCTCGCGACGTGCATGATCGGCAGAGGCGCGCTCATCAAGCCGTGGGTCTTGACCGAGATTAAAGAGCGACGCGTGTGGGACATCTCCGCGCGAGAGCGTCTGGACCTCTTCGAGCGCTTCGGCGCCTTCGGCCTCGAGCACTGGGGCGCGGACGAGAAGGGCGTGGAGACGACGCGACGGTTCATGCTCGAGTGGATGTCGTACACGCACCGGTACGTCCCCGTCGGGCTGCTCGAGCGCGGGGTGTCGCAGACGATGGCGCTGCGGCCGCCCGCGTACGTCGGGAGGAGCGACCTCGAGACGTTGCTGGCGTCGGATAAGACGGAGGACTGGCGGCGGGTGGCGCGGATGTTTTTGGGGCCGGAGGCGCCGGGGTTTCGGTTCGTGCCGAAGCACAGGTCGAACAGTTACAGCGCGGCGTGCGACGCGGCGGCGGCGGCGCGGGGGGTTGGCGGGGGTGGGGGCGAAGAGGAGGAGGACGACGGGGAGGAGGAGGAGGAGGAGGAGAACGGGTGAGTGATTGACGCTACGGTAGAGGTTGTTACGGTCGCGGACGACGCGTGGAAACATCCCGTCAGCATCGTCGGATCGATCGAACGAAATGAGATTTTTCATACTTGGTCGCGCGTCGTCGCCGTCGCGCGCGATGCAGGCGAGCGGGACGACGAAGACCGCCACCGAGTCGCCGTGCGAGGACGCGACGAAGAAAGCGCTCGCGTGTGCGTCCCAACCCGCGACACCGCGTAAACCTCGCGCTCGAACCCCGCGTCGCGTCGATCGACCCGGTCGATGGTTCGGCACCCGCGAGATCAGATCGTTGGTCCCCACACTGGTTCCCATACGACCGCGTTCGCGTGGTGAACGCCGATCCTTAAGGACTTTTGCTTTCGTTCGCTCGCGCTTCGATCTTCTCGTCTCACGCGTCCGCTCCTCGCAGGCGCAACGACTCACGGGGAGAACAAGGCGAAGATGTGCGAGCCGCTCTTCACGGCGTATCGAGAGTGCAGGAAAGCGGAGCAAAAGGAGATCGTTCGGAAGCGCATCGAGAACCGCAAGTCCATGTTCTTCTCGGTCTCGGAGCGATCCTAGCTAAAAAATAGCCTAGTCTAGCCTTCGTCTCGGTCTAGTGAAACTCACGTCGTCCGCCTTATAAATCGCGCCGATCATGATATCCCAGAATTCCTTCGCGGGCCAATCGCCACCCGTATCCCTAAACCTCGTGGCGACGGCGCAGTTCGCGGGCTTCCCGCTCTGTTTCCAGAAGTCGCACACTGTTTGGCCCGCGGATAAATCGCTGGCGCACTCGACGTCGACGCGCATTTTTTCCACCTCGAACAATTCCGGGTCGATGGCGTAAAGCACCGCGCACGGGTCGTGCAGCGGTGGTCCGTCTTCGAACCCGAACACGTCCTCGTACGTCTTCGCGAAGAACTGCATCCACGCATCGACGACTTCGAGAAAGTACGACGCGAGAAAAATTCCCCCTTCACCCTCATCACTCGGCGTCCACGGTCCATCTGCACTGGGATGAACAATAATCTTTTTCCAGACGTCTCGCACTCGCTCGGTATAGATAGCGGTGTGCGTCAGCTCGAGCGGCACCATCGTCAAGTCCACTCCGGACTCGAACACGCACTTCGCCGCTTCCGGATCGCACTGCATGTTAAACTCCGCGACCGGACCGGTGTTCCCTCGCCCCATGGAGCCGCCCATGAAGACGACGCTCAACGCGGGTATCAACTCTGGATACACCGAGAGAAACAACGCGACGTTCGTGAGCGCGCCGGTGGCGACGAGCTTGAACTTGAACGCATCTTTCGGCCGCCCCCTCGCGTCGTGCTCGCGCTTGCACCGCGTCACGGCCTCCGCGATGGCGTGCACGGCCTTCCCCGGGTTCGCCTCCCGGTCCGCCGGCGGTATCACGACTCCGTCGAGCCCGCCGGCTCCGTGGATCTCAGGGCAGTTTCGCCGCGGCCGCACCAGAGGCTTGTCCGCGCCCTTGAACACCGGCACGTCGTCCTTCCCGACGAGGTGAAGCACCCTGAGCGCGTTCTCCGTCGCCGCTTCGAGCGGCGCGTTCCCGCACACGGTGCTCACGCCCACGAGATGGGGTACGTACTCCTGGTGTCTCACGTCGTCGGGATAGTGCGTCGCCAAAATGATGGCCATCGCGTCGTCGTGCCCCGGATCGCAGTCGAGCCAGATGTACGTGTAGGGGCGCTGCTCGACCGACGTTCCCGCTGCCGGCGCATCGTCCGCGTTCTTTCTCTTCGACATGATCGCCCGCTCGCGCGGCGAACAGTGCGGCGGGCGCGAGCCACGACGACCTTCTCATCACTGAAGGATGTTGAATCAAAAAGTGAAAAAGTGCAGCAACGCTGACTCACACCATCGAGACGATGCTAGGGTTGCGCGCGTGCGGTCCTCGGCTGGGTCACGCCGGCGCGCGCCTCGCGCGATGGCGCCTCGCGCGCACCCCTCGCCGCGCGCCCGCGGCCCCGGGCCGAGCGCGCGCCGCGTCCGCGGACGCGGCGGACGTCCCCGAGCCGCCGTCGGCACCGAGCGCTCCTAGGACGTGGAAAAAACAACCCAAGCTCGGATCCCCGGAACGCCCGAGGCCGCCGCCGACGTTCGTGCGCCCGCCGTCGCCGCCGGAGTCCCCGGAGACGTTCAAAAACATGGTCCTCCTCGTGGACAAGCCGCGCGGGTACACGTCCTTCGACGTCGTCGCGCGCGTGCGCGGCATCGCTCGTCGGATGGGCGTGAAAAAAGTCGGCCACTGCGGCACGCTGGACCCGATGGCCACCGGCGTGCTCGTGCTGTGCGTCGGCCAGGCGCGTTCTGTCTCACCCTGGTCCCCATACGACCGCGTTGGCGTGGTGAACGCCGATCCTTGAGGACTTTCTCTCCCGGCGTTCGTATCTCTCCGCCCATCACCCCTCGCTTTCAATCCCGACACACCACGATGTCTTTCAACTCCGTCTGACACCTTTCAACTCCACCCCGACGTTCGCTCGTACGGAACGACCCTCAGGCGACGAAGCTCGTGGACTCGTACACGGGCATGGACAAGGCGTACGTCGGGACGATGAAGCTCGGCGAGAGGACGCCGTCGCAGGACGCGGACACGGCGCCGGACGCGACGTTCCCGTGGGAAGGGATCGCGGACGACGAGCTCCGCGACGCGGCGGCGAAGCTCGTCGGCGACTTGAAGCAGGCGCGTCTGGTCCCGCCCGTCGTCACGCCGGTCCCCATACGACCGCGTTCGCGTGGTGAACGCCGGTCCTTAAGCACGTTTCCCGTCGCATCTCTCCGCCCACCCCTCGCTTTCAATCCCCGCCCTCGGCGCCTTTCAACTCCGCTTCTGAAGCCTTTCAACTCCACCCCGACGTCTGTCGCCTCGCGCGGGAGACGACCCTCAGCTGCCTCCGATGTACAGCGCGATCAAGGTGAAAGGGAAGCGGCTGTACGAGTCCGCGAGGAAGGGCGAGGTCGTGGAGCGGAAAACAAGAGACGTGCGCGTCGACGCGTTCGAGGTGGAGCGCGACGCGACGAACAGGCAGTTGGTGCACTTCAAGGTGGAGTGCGGCAAAGGGACGTACGTGCGCACGCTCGCGCACGACCTAGGCGAGTCGTTGGGAAGCGCCGCGCATCTCACCGCGCTGCGGCGCGTGCGCGTGGGGGAGTACGACGTGGACGACGCGTGGACGATAGACATGCTGAACGACGCGTGCGCGCCGATGGTAGAGGCGGCGGAGGACGCGAAGGCGGCGGCGGCGGCGGCGGCGGGCGGGAGGTAGCGCGACGGATGCGGTGATGCTGTAGGCCCATATTCACTATCTTTAACCTGCAAGCTTCCGCTCGTCAACCCTCCCGTCTCACCCGCAAGATTCTTAATCGGGCGCGACGTCTGACCGCGGAGGGCACTTTCCAGTCGCGCGGGCACGCGCGCGCGCACGACCGGGACGACTCGCCGCGATGGGTCGGGGAGACATGGTGCGCGTCGCGTCCTCTTCGATCGTCGTCGACCCGGACCGTCCCCCCGCGCGCGCGTCGCCGCGTCGCCGAACCGATTCATTCATCCTCACGCCGCGCGCCCCCGCCCGAGCGCTCGATCGACGATCGATAAAGTAGAAATCGTCCCTCCCGCGACGAGCGTCGACCGACTGACGCCGCCGCCGCCTCCCTCGCACGCGTCCCCCCCCACCCTCCCCCCGCTCGCGACGAACAGACGAGCGCCGTCGAGCACGAGCTCGAGGAGCTCCGACGGAAGTACAAGATCATGGAAGCGAACCGCAAGGCGTACAGCGAGGACTCGCAGAATCACATCCGACGACAGCGGCAGATCATCGATAAGCTCAAGGCGGACAACGCTAACCTGAAATCCGAGCTCGTCGTGGACCAGCAGGACTCCGGGGCGCCGCCGCCGCTGAGCGTGCAGAACGAGATCGTGCGCTTGGGCGACTTCGCGGACATGTACACGCGCAAGATCGAGATGGAGAGGAGGCGCGTGGAGGAGCTCGACGAGCACCTGGCGCTCTCGGACGCGAAAATCTTTGAGCAGAAGAAGGCGATGGGGGGCGTGAACGCCCCCGCGGATGACGACAACCGCGTGCACATGTCCGTCACCGTCCTCGAGAAGAAGGTGGATAGGACGCTGATGAACTTCAACGAGGCGCTCGCGAAGAACAAGGCGCTGCGGGAGACGATCGACAACTTGCGAAGGGAAAAGATCGGGTTCGAAGCGGTGTACCGCAAACTCGAGAAGGAGCTGCAGGAGAAGAAACGCGAGATGGCGAGCGTCATCGACACGTCGAACATCTCGTACGAGGCGAGAGATCAGGCGCAGAACGAGATCGCGGCGATCCGCGCGCAAGGGGACAAGGAAGCCGCCGCGTTCGACGTCGAGTGGCGGGAGCTCGGGAAGATCTTAGAGCACGACCGAAAGATGAAGGAGCTCGCGATGCGAAACAAACTCAAAGCCGCGGAGCTCGGGCTGTCGCTCGCGGAGGCGTCGGACGAGAAGCTCAACAAGAAGTCGCTCAGAGGGAAGAAGGAGATCACCGAGATGGCGAAGAAGGTGGAGACGTACGAGGAAGCGTTCACGAAGATCCAAGCCGCGACCGGGATCACGGACATCGACGACCTCGTGACGTCGTTCATCGCGGCGGAGGATCAAAACTTTTCGCTCTTCAATTTCGTAAACGAGCTCAACCAAGAGCAAGAGAAGCTCGAGGAGCAAGTCCAGGAGCTCCAGGCGGAGATCCGGAAGTTCCGCGGGAACGGGCCGGACGACGACGGCCAGCGGAAGAAGATCCTGAAGGAGCTCGAGCAGAAGCTCGAGCGCACGGACGCCTCCACGGCGTCGTACGAGAAGCGGTTCCAGCGCGTCACGTCCATCGTCCGAGCCCTCGGCGCGGGCGTCTCCTCCATCTACCACAAGATCGGCTGCGACACCCCGGAGAACAGAGAGTACCTCGGCGACGACGGCGTCAAGGAGGACAACATGCTGATGTACCTGGGGATCATCGAGCAGAGGGCGAACGAGATCATCGCGGCGTACGTCGCGAAACTCTCCGCGTCGGGCGGCGGAGGGAGGTACGGCGGGAAGATCGTCGCGCGACCGACCGGGCCGCCGACGCCGCCGAAGGGCGCGATCGCGGGCGTGAGCATCGACCCGCCGACGACGGCGCCGGACGACTACGGACGCGACGACGAGAGCGAGGAAGAGGTTGACGACCGACCGCTCACGCGCGAGGAGCTGCAAGAGAAGACGCTGCGGTCGCTGAGCAAGCGCGAGAGTCAGGGCGGCGCCGGCGGCGCCGGCGCGAAGAAGCGAGGCGCGAAGAAGCGATAGTCTGTCTGTCGTCGTCTGTTGTATCATCGAAGGAAATCGTACATCGCATCGCATGCTAAATCAAATCGTAGTGACCGAACGTCGGCGTCCGTTTCGTTCAGGGCCGTTCTATACGAGCGAACGTCAGGGTGGACTTGAAAGGCGTCAGTTGGCGTTGAAAGGCGTCGAGGTGTGTCGGGATTGAAAGCGGGGGATGGGCGGAGAGACACGCCGGGAAAAGTCCTTAAGGATCGGCGTTCACCACGCGAACGCGGTCGTATGGGGACCAGTGTACAGAACGCGCCTCACGTCACGCACGCGACGCCTCGGCACGCGGCGAAAAAAATCACGATCAACGCGAGCGCTGCGACGCCGACGACGGCGCACCACATCTTCACGTTCCCCCACCACATCCGTCGGCGCAGCCGGTTCGACGCGCGCTTGAACGTGTGCGCGGTCGCCTGCAGCGCGTCGGACTTGTCCAGGACGTTCTCGAGCTTCTCGCCGCGGTCGATGACGCGCGAGATGTTGTCGACCATCACCGCGCGGACGTCGCGTAACTTTTCGTTCGCCTCGCGCAGCTTCTCGTCGTCGTCGTCGTCGTCGTTCGCTTCGCCGACGCGCGTCGCTCGCGGGGTTTCATCAAGCTCGGACGACATCGCCTTGATCGCGACGCCGAACGCCGCGAGGTGCTCGAGCCCAAGCCCGCGCGGCCGCGCGGCGACCGCGGACGGCGCGTCGCCGTGTCTCCTCTCGAACTCCGCGCGCGTCGTCTCGAGCCACCGGAACGCGCGCGTCGCCTGCGGGTCTGTCGCGTCGCCGTCGCTCGAAGACGACGACGCGCCTCTGCCTCTCGTCGGGGGCGCGAGCGCGGCGACGACGCCGAACACCGCTCGCGGGGGAAGGTCCGTCGACGTCGTCGTCGACGTCGACGTCGTCGACAGCGCGAGTCCCTCCCCGAGCGCGGCGCGCGCGGGCGGCGCGGGCGGCGGGGACGCGATCAGCGTGTAGCACGCGAGGCCGCCGTCGCCGGCGAGCGGCGTCGCGTAGAACCCCGCGCCGTCGCGCGCGTGCTTGCGCAGAACCTCGAGCGCGCGGTCGTCGAAGCCGCGCGCGAGCGCGGCGTTCGCCGCGTGCGACGCGCACACGACGGGCGGGAGGGATCCCCCGGCGGCGCGACCGACGAACGCGTAGACGAACCCGGGCATGCGAGGAGCCCAGACGCGGGGAGAGGTGTGCGCGGAGGGTCGGCTCACGAGGGCGACGCGAAGAACCCTCGGCCTTCCGTCCGACGTATTTTCTCGGGACAGACGACGAACGCGTGACTTTTGATGATGAATACGTTGTAACCTTCCGCGTGCTATCGTTTCTATTCAGCGCTACCTTCGGAGCGCGGCTAGTTCGCGACGGTCGCCGCCGCCGCGCCGGTGGTTTCGCCGTCCGGGTGGTCCAGCTTCTGTCGCTTCGCATCCAGAGCTGCGGGCGAGAGGAACGAAGGGGAGAGAAGGAGAAACCGCGGTGAGCGAGAGCGACCGAAAAAAAAAAAGACGACATAAAAAAAAACGAGCGTCCCGCGCGTCCCGGTGGCATCAAAGTAGGCAGGTCGTGTCTCCACGCCTGATCCAGATGTCCTCTTCACGCCGTGAAGTCGGATGTCCCTATCTGAGGTTTATCTTCACGCGCCACCGGTTCGGTTCAGGCCGGGTCGAGAATGAAAAAAAAACGCACAGCCCCCCCCGCGGAAAAAAAGAAACCAAACCAAAAAAAACCAAAGCGACGCGCACCCGCGATGGCGTCGTCCTCCCTCTTCTGCTCCTCGATCGCCGCCGTCTTGATCCTCTCCGCCTCCTCCGCCGCCTCCCTCGCGAGCGCGCGCTCGCTCTTCTTCGCGATCGGCCGCAGTCGCCCCTCCTTCTTCGCAATCAACCGCACGCGGCCGGTGAGCTCCTTCGTCCACGCCCGCAACGCGTCGATTGTAATCTTTTCGTACTTTTCTCGGTTCAGCCAGTCGCGCAAGTCCGTGAACTCCGCGAGCCAATGGCCGACCATCTTGAACACGTGGGCCTTGATCATCCGCAGCGGCGTGTGGTGCCCCGGGAGTTGCGTGATGTCCAGGTATTCCATCAGCAGCCGGCAGTTCGCGTCGCCCTCGATCGGAAGCGGATTCGCGAGATCCCGCGTCGGCGCGAACGGCGGATCGGAGAAGAGCGACGGGTTCTCCAAGAGAGGGTCCGCGGACATGACGCCGTCCGCGCCGGTCGCTTCCAGGCACTTCCTCGCCTCGGCCAACGTACGCACGTCCCCGTTCGCGATCACCGGCACGGTGAGCCGCTCTTTGATCGCCTTTATGAACGCCCAATTCGCTCGAACGTCCGACGCGCGTTTCTGCTCTCGCGTCCGCCCGTGAATCGCGACGAGCTGCGCGCCCGCGTTTTGCACCATCTCCGCGTACTGTATCGACGTCTCTAAGTCGTCGTACACGCGTATCTTCGCCGTGACGGGCACGGACAGCTCCTTGTCGAGTATGGATATCAGATCGTGCACGGTCTTCCAGTCGTCCATGAGAAACGCGCCGTATCGCCCCTTCTTCGCGATGCGTTGCGGGCATCCGAAATTGATGTCCACGCCGTCGCAGTGCGGCGCGACGAGCTTCGCCGCGGCGAGGAGCGTCGCCGGGTCGTTCGCGCAGAACTGCACGAGCAGCGGGCGGTCCGCGATGCCCTCCACGGTCGTGAAGATCTCCGCTCGGTACTTTAGGTCTTCCACGAACAGCCGCGCGTGAATCATCGGCGTGTACGCGAGCGTCGCGCCGTACCGTCGGCAGAGCGTTCGGAACGCGAGCTCGCTCTGGTCCACCATGGGGGCGACGTGGAAGCGCGGCGAGCCCATGGACTCGAAGAACGCGTAGCCCTTGAGCTTGGTCTGCGGCGTCGTCGCGATCGCGGGCGCGGGCGCGTCGGCGGCGTCGGCGGTCGGCGGATCGCCCGCGACGGCGACGGCGTCGTCGACCGCCGCCATCGTCGTCGTCGTCGTCGTCGTCGTCGTCGTCGCGCCGCCGCGAAGGCTTCGCGCGAGGACGAGGAGCGGCGGCGACGGCGGCGCGGCGGCGGGCGAGCGCGCGCGGGCGGGGGAGGGCGCGAGTCGTGCGAGAAGCGCGGCGACGGCCCCTCGCATGAACCGGGCGCTCCGCGGTGTGCGAGGGCGGCGCGCCAGTGCCGGTCGCGAGCCAAACTTCAGTCTGTTTCATGCGTGGCGCTCTTACTCTTCAGTGTTTGGCTGGCGGCGCGAACGTTCGTCGCGTCGTCGCCTCGACGCGTCCGCCGCGCCGTCTCCGCGCGTCCGCGCACACCCTCGCGCGCCACCGCGGCGGAACCGCCGCCGCCGCCGCCGACGACGACGACGACGTCGGCCATGCGAGCGTCGACCGCGCGCGTCCCGACCGCGCGCGTCGTCGTCGTCGTCGCGCTCGTCGTCGCGCTCGTCTCGCGCCTCCACCCCGTCGCCGCCTCCTCGAGCGTCGCCTCGCCGTCGCCGTCGCCGCCGCCGCCTCCCTGGGGTCTCGACCGCATCGACCAGCGCGACCTCCCGCTGGACAACGCGCCGTTCCTCCCGAGCGACGCGGCCGCGACCGCGACCGCGACCGCGACCGCGTCACCGCGGGACTGCCCGGGCCTCGGCGTCCACGTGTTCGTGCTCGACAGCGGACTCGACGCCGAGCACGTCGCGTTCGCGGGCCGCGTCGGCGTCGGCTACGACGCGCGCGACGACGCCGCCGCCGCCGCCGCCGACATCGACGACGAATTCGAATTCGCCGACGCGCGTACCGACTGGCGCCCGATCGACGCGCACGGCCACGGCACGCACGTCGCGTCCGTCGCGACGGGCTTCGGCCTCGGCGTCGCCAGGTGCGCGACGACGCACCCCGTGCGCGTCTTCAACGCGGACGGCCGAGGGACCACCGCGCGCGTCCTCGACGGCCTCCGGTGGGTCGCCGACCGCGTGAAGAACGGCACGAGTGGCGGCGCGCTTCGACCCGCGGTGGCGCTGCTGTCCATCGGCGGAACCCGATCGAGCGTCTTGAACGCCGCGGTGGACGCGTTGAGCGACGCGAGCGACGTCGTCGTCGTCGTCGCCGCGGGGAACCAGGGCGAGGACGCGTGCGCGCACTCGCCGGCGTCGTCGCGTCGCGCGATCGCCGTCGGCGCGGTCGACGCGACCGATCGAAGGCTGGGGTTCAGTAACTACGGGCCGTGCGTGGACGTGTTCGCGCCGGGGACGGACGTGCGCGGGGCGGTTTCAGCGTCGGTCTCCGCGGTCGGTCACGGCGGCGAAGAAAACGCGACGAGGCTCGCGCGCGGGACGTCCACGGCCGCGCCGTTCGTCGCCGGCGTCGCCGCGGTGTTTCTGTCGCACGTCCCGCGCGCGTCCGCGGAGGAGACGCGTACCGCGGTGCTCGACGGCGCGGCGGTCGGCGTCGTGAGAGACGCGGGGGAGGGGTCGCCGAACAGGCTCGTGAACGTGCGCGGCGCGTTGGCCGCGGCGAAGGCGGCGACGCGGCCGCCGCCGCCGCCGCCGCCGCCGCCGCCGCCGCCGGTGAAGCGACTGTGGCGTTTGGGGATGTTCGGTGACGTCGCGGCGTCGTTCTAGCGCTCGCTCGTTCGCGGGTTCCAGCTCTCTCTCTCGGGTACGGCGAGTCCCCGGTTGCGAAGCGGTAATAATAAAAACCTCCTGTCGTCGGCACACATCTAAAACTCGTCCCACCACTGCAGAGAATCGGATTCGTTCGCTCCCAGACTAGCTAGCTCGGGGATGGACCGCGCCTTCCTTCGCGCCGAGCCGCGTCCGTCCGGGGACGCTCGCTCGCGCTGCCACGCGGACGCGATCGCGCGCGGCCGTTCGGACTCATGACTCCGGCGGCGGCGGGCACGTCTCCTTCGGATGCTTCGCCTCGTAGTGCACCTTCATCATGTTGTAGTTTATCAATTGCGCCGCGCAGATCGGGCACGACGCCTTGAACGCCGCCGCGCGAGCTTTCAGGTCGGACTTGGCCTCCTTCTTCCCCGCGTTCTTCTTCGCGTTCTTTTCTTGCGCGTTCGCTTTCGCGTTCCCGCGAGCCATCGTTCGGCGTGCTCCAGGCGCGAGCGCGCGTCTCGGACGAGCGTGGTGACAAGTGGCAGGGATTCGGACAGATAGACGAAATCAAGTCATCAGCGTGCCGTGTTTCGTGAAGAAGAGCGAGAGAACAGGTCGAGAGAACTGATGAAAGAAGCCTCGCGTCTGTGGTATACACGCACGCACTCGTAACACACTCCCGCCTCCGCGCGCCGCCCTCATCATCACTCCACTCACACGCCGTCCGCTTTGATCGCGACGAGCAGGTCCCCCGCGCGGCACCCGTCCCCCGCCACGACGCCGACGTGCCGAATCGGCCCGTCGCACGGCGCGCTCACCGTCGTCTCCATCTTCATCGCCGACAACACCACGAGCGGCGCGCCCGCCTCGACGATCTCCCCGGACGTCACGAGCACCTCCACGACCTCGCCCGCCATCGGCGCGCCGACGGAGCCGATGTCCGCGGGGTCGCTGCGCTCGCGGCTTGCGAGCAGCGTCTTCTTCGTCGCGCCGTCGTCCGTCTTGTCTTCGATCTCCACCACGCGCGGGATGCCGTTCATCTCGAAAAAGACGTCGCGCGTGCCGGACGGCAACAGCTCGCCGATCGCCTTCAGCTTGATCGACGCCTTCACCCCGGCTCGGAGCTCAACCTCGCACTCTTCGTCGATTTCGAGTCCGACGAGGAATGCCTTCGTGGGCAACGTCGTGAGCGGGCCGTGAAGGTTCAGCTTCCGGACGTAATCGTCGAACACGGTGGGGTACATCGCCGCACTCAGGGTGTCGCGCCAGGTGATCAATTTCGACGCGTGCTTTCGCATGATGCCGTCGCGCAGCTCCGTGAGGTCCTGGTCCGGGATCTCGCTCCCCGGTCGCGTCGTGTACCCGTTATCCTTACCCTTGAGCACGCGCGATCGCAGCGGTTCCGGGAACCCGCCCGCGGGCTGACCGATGTACCCTTGGAAGTACTCCACGACGCTCGTGGGGAACGACAGCGTCTCCGCGTTTTCGACGACGGAAACTTCGTCCAAGTCGTTGGCGACGAGGAACTGCGCGAGGTCGCCGACCACCTTCGACGACGGCGTGACCTTCACGATGTCGCCCAAGACTCTGTTCGCCGTCGCGTACGCCGCCTTGATCTTGTCCCACTCGCTCCCTAGGCCGTTGCTGAACGCCTGGAATTTCAAGTTCGTGTACTGTCCGCCCGGCATCTCGTGCACGTACACGTCCGCGCTGCCGGATTTGATCCCGGACTCGAACGGGGAGTACAACCCCCGCGTCTGCTCCCAGTAGTTGTTCAGGGTGAGAATCTTCGGCATGTCGAGCCCAGTGTCGAGCGACGTCCCTTGCGTGCTTCCGATGAGCGCGCCGATGGACGGCTGCGACGTGAGCCCCGCCATCGCGTCCGTGCAGACGTCCACGACGTCCGCGCCCGCCTCCGCGGCGGCGAGCATCGACGCGACGCCCGTGCCGGCGGTGTCGTGCGTGTGGACGTGGATCGGCAGGTCCGGGAACTTCTCGCGCAGCGCGCCGACGAGCATCGTCGCCGCGCGCGGTTTCAGCAAGCCGGCCATGTCCTTGATCGCGAGGACGTCGATCCCGTGCGCGACGAGCTGCTCGGTGAGGTGGACGTAGTACTCGAGCGAGTACTTCTCCTTTGAAGGGTTCGCGACGTCGCCGGTGTAGCACACGGTCGCCTCCACGACGCCGTTCGCGTTCCGCACCGAGTCGATGCCAAACTTGAGGTTGTCGAGGTAGTTGAGGGAGTCGAACACGCGGAACACGTCCACGCCCGCGATTCTGGCCTCCTTCACGAACGCGTCCACGACGTTATCCGCATACGACGTGTAGCCCACCGCGTTGGCGCCTCTCAGGAGCATCTGAAACGGAATGTTCGGCACCGCCTCGCGCAACGACTCGAGACGTCTCCACGGACACTCGTGAAGGAACCGAAGCGACACGTCAAACGTCGCGCCGCCCCACATCTCCAGCGAGTACGCGCTCGCGAGCGCCTCCGCGGTGTACGGCGCCGCGGCGAGTATATCCCGCGTGCGCATCCGCGTCGCGAGGCAGGACTGGTGCGCGTCGCGCCACGTCGTGTCCATGATGAGCAACCCCTCGTGGTCGCGCACAGCCTTCGCGAATCCCGCGGGGCCGGCCTCGTCCAGGATCTGCTTGAATCCCCTCGGCGGGCTCGGCGTCGACGGGACCGGCGGCGTCGGCTCTTCGACGATCGGCGCGGGCCCGACGGCGCCCGGGTGCTTCGCGCCGTTGACCGCCACCTCGCCGAGGTACGTCAGCAGCTTCGTCATGTCGTCGCTGCCGACGTCGAGCTCGAAGAGGCTCGGGGTGGAGTCGATGAAGTCCGTCGCGAAGTCCCCGGACAAGAACGTCTCGGACTGGAGCACGTTGAGGAGGAACGGGATGTTGGTCTTGACGCCGCGGACGCGAAACTCGGACAACGCGCGGTACATCTTCTGCACGACGCCGTGGAAGTTTTTCTCCTTGCACGTGAGCTTCACGAGAAGCGAGTCGTAGTTTGGCGACACGCGCGAGCCGACGACGACTTCGCCGTCCAGGCGCACGCCCATCCCGCCCGGGGGTCTGTACACCTCCACCTTGCCAAAGTCCGGCGCGAAGTTCAACTGGGGGTCCTCCGTCGTGATCCTGCATTGCATCGCGAAGCCTTGGACGACGACGTCTTCCTGCGACGCGATGCCAATCTCCGCGAGCGTCGCGCCGCCGGCGATGAGGATCTGCGATTGCACCAGGTCGATCCCGGTGACTTCCTATGTGACCGTGTGCTCGACTTGTATCCGCGGGTTCACCTCGAGGAAGTAGTGCCGGCCTTCTTTGTCCACCATGAACTCGACGGTGCCGGCGTTGCGGTAGTCGACGTGCTTCGCCAGACGCACGGCGTCGTCGTGGAGCGTCTTGCGAAGCTCGTCCGACAGCTCCGCCGCGGGAGCGAGCTCGACGACTTTCTGATGCCGTCGCTGCACGGAGCAGTCGCGCTCCGCGAGGTGCACGACGTTCCCGTGCGCGTCCGCGAGGATCTGCACCTCGATGTGCCGCGGCGCCTCGACGTATCGCTCCAGGAACATCCGCCCGTCGCCGAACGCGCCCAACGCCTCGGACGACGCCCTCGTGAACCCTTCCTTCAGGTCGTTCATCGTGCGCACGATGCGCATCCCGCGCCCGCCGCCGCCCATGGCCGCTTTCAGCATGATCGGGAACCCGAACGTCTCCGCGAAAGCCTCCGCCTCGGCGAAATCGTCGGTGGCCTCATCCGTGCCCGGCACCAGCGGCAGGTCGCACTCCTTCGCGAGCCGCTTCGCGATCACCTTGTCTCCCATCTGCGCGATCGTCTCGCTCCTCGGGCCTATAAACGTCAAACCTTCTTCCTCGCATCTGCGCGCGAAGTCCGCGTTCTCGGACAGGAAGCCGTATCCGGGGTGGATCGCCTGCACGCCATTCTCCAGCGCGGTCTTTATGATGTCTTCGTATCCGAGGTACGCGCCGACCGGGGTCTCGCCCACGCCGACGCAGTAGGACTCGTCGGCTTTGTACCGGTGCGTCGCGAGGCGGTCGGCTTCGGAGAAAATCGCGACGGTTCGCATTCCGAGCTCGGTGCCCGCGCGGAAGACGCGAACCGCGATCTCGCCGCGGTTCGCGCACAAGATCTTTGTGAGCTCGCCGGACTTGCAACGCAGGATGCCCTGCAGCGAGGACGGGCAGACGTCGTCGTTCGCGCGGTCCTCCTTCGTCGGCTCCGCGATCGCGCGCGCGGAGACGTCGCCGCGCGTCTTCGAGTCGCCGCCGCTCTCGCGGTCGCGGTCGATCGCCGCGGCGCGCGGCGTCGTCGCTCGACGACGATGCCCTCCAAACCCTCTCGCCTCGAAAGTCCGACAGCCCCCGCCGCCTCGAAACCCGCGCGTCGCGGCGACGCGCTCGGCGGCCGCGGGCGCGGCGGTTCGCGCGCGCGCGAATATCGGCGCGCGCGTCGCGCTCGCGGACGCCATCGTGTCGCGGCGAGAGACGTCTCCGTCGCACCGCGCGTCGCGTTCTCCCCGCTCCGAAAGGTCGCGTGCTTTTTCTTTTTCCGTGGCTTTTTACGCTGGTATCGATCGAGATATGACGAGTAAACGAGCGACACAGGGTACTGTACCGGCGTCGTCCTCTCATCGTTCTCCGTTCAACTCGTCGCTACGCTCGCATCATCCACTCGCCGCGCCCTCCTCCCTCCCTCCCTCCCTCCCTCCCTCCCTCCCTCACCACATCGACCGCACCGCCCCGACCTTGACGTACGTCGCCTCCCCCGTGGCGCACCGAAACGCCTCGCCGCCGTGGTCGTCGTCGCCAGCCGCGCGCAACTCCATCGTCACCTTCACCCTGAACGGCTCCTTCGCGTCCTTCACCTCCACCGCCTTGGTCGTGATCTCGATCTCCGTGCCGGGGGGCAAGCGATCGTTGACCTCCATGCTGAAACTCTTCGTGAGCACGAGCGGCGGCCGCGGGAGCACCGACTTATCCATCAGCGTCACCCCCGCCTGCCACGCGCCGTGACAGATCATCAACGCGTCCATGACGCCCGTGGAGACGATGCCGGGGAGGCCCTGGTAGTCTTCGCCGACGACGACCGTGGACCGCAGCGCGCCCACGATGGCGTCGTCGTCGACGCCAGGGTCGCGCTCGTCCCTGTAGCTCTTCAGCCCGAGCCCGCGCTCGTGCGAGTTCCCGCACACGAAGCACTTGGAGTGCGCGTCGTAGGACGCCTGAGGATCGTTCCACGAGCGAACGTCGGGGTGGAGTTGAAAGGCGTCAGAAGCGGAGTTGAAAGGCATCGAAAGCGGGGATTGAAAGCGAGGTGTGGGCGGAGAGAGACGACGGCAAATGTCCTTAAGGAACGGCGTTCACCACGCCGACGCGGTCGTATGGGGACCAGTGTGAGGAGAACGCGCCTGGACGGATTTGATGGGCGCCGACGGATCCGGCGGCGCGACGCCGGCAACCGCCGCCGGGTGCCTCGGCGAGTTGCACGGGTTCACCTCCACGCCGCGCTTCGCGAGGCGCTCCCACTCTTCTTTCTTTTCGTTCGCGTCCGAGGTGGCGTAGCCGCGCTGGGCGACGGACTCCACGGTCGACCACGGGCCGTGATGACTCGACACGCGACGCGTCTGCTGATGATGATGACGTCGCGGCCGCGGCTGCTGCGCTTTATGGCGGCAACGTATCGGATCGGCGGCGGTCTGCGAAGCGGACCACGACGCCGCGGAGGACGTCGCGCCGATTCGGCCGGCGCATCGCGCGTTCGCGAGAGAATCTGCGCAGAGGCGCGACGCCGCGCGGGTCGCGTTGCGAAGCATGGCGACGCGCGCGACGAAGACGACGACGCGCGCGACGAAGACGACGACGCGCGCGACGACGAAGAATGCCCGCGCCGATCTACTCGCGGCTCGCGCTTTTCGAAAAGATTCGAAGACCGACGACGACGACGGCCGGGTCGCGCGACGCGCGGTGCCGCGTCGCGGGCGCGCTGGACGAGCGCCGCGCGGTCGCCGCGGGGAGCGTGAACGGACGCTCGCGCGACGTGCGCGCGCTGCGGTGTGAGGGAGACGTCGCGTCCGTCGACGTAAATATCGTCGTCAACATCAAGTCGCTTTCGTCGGAAATATCTCGCCGCGCCCGCTTCGTCTCGTCCAGTCCCACGACGCGAGCGTCGCGTCGGACCCCTGCCGCTCAGTCGCGGCCGGCGCTGGACGATGCCCGCGCCGCCGTTCCTCGTCGGCCTGAGCGCGGGGGCGTCGCTCACCGCAATCGTCCGCGTCGTCTCGACCGCGGGCGACCGCGGGAGGAAGCCGAAGTCGTCGTCAACCGCCGGCGGCGACGCGCGGGGTGGGGGTGGAGACGACGACAGCGCGTCGAAGACGAAGAAAAAGAATGTCATCGCCGACGCGTCCTCTTCTCGCCGCCCTCGCCTCGTCGTCAAGCCGAAGCCGTTCGTGCGCGCGCCGGAGGATCCGCCCCCGGACGACCCGTGCCCCAAGTGCGGCGGCGGCGGACGCGCGACGTGCGTCGAGTGCGCGGGGAGAGGGCGGACCAACTACCCGAATCAGGCGATGCTCCCGCCGAGCGCGTGGCCGGAATGGTGCGGGTACTGCCGCGGCAGCGGGAGGATATACTGCGCGAGCTGCTCGGGGTTGGGGAAGAAGCGCGGGAAGATCGGGTTCGATCTGAACGACTGACCGACGGGTCGGTCTTCGGAGTAGCGGCAGCGAGACGCGCGATAGCGGGGACGTAGCGGGGACGTAGCATCTAACAGAATCTATCATACGCGAAAAGTCGACGACGACGAAGACGACGTCACCCGCTCGCGAGCCGGGATAACAACGCGTCGACCAGCACCAAATCGTCCCCCGGCGCGTCGTCCTCCGTCTCCGCGTCTTCCTCCTCCTCTTCTTCCGCGTCCAGAAGCAGCGCGTCCAGCCCCCCGGGCGTCGTCGCGACGGCGCGCGGCCCCGGCGGCCGACCCGCGCCCGCGCCGTCGCCCGAGCGCGTCGGCTTTTTCCGCGAACCGCCGCGAGCCGGGGCGCGACGCCCGACCGCGGAAGAAGACGGAACGGGAACGTCGACCGTCGCCATCGCGCGTCGCAACACCGCGGCCGCGCGCCGCATCGCGCGCCTTGCCGCATCGCCGCGGCACTCTTCGGCCGCGTCATCAGCGTCAGCGTCCTCGGGGTCGAGAAACGCGCGCGTCGCCGCGACGAGCTCGCGAACGTCCGCGGCGGCGTCCTCCTCCGCGGCGACGAAATCGCGCGCGAGCGCGTCGCTCGCCTTGATCGCGTCCGCGACGATGACCGCGCCGACGTTGGTCTCCGCCGCTCTGACCGCCGCGGATCGCGCGTTCACGAGCTCCTTCCGCGTCGCGTGCAGCTCGTCGCGCAAGATTCGCATCGCGCGTTCGCGCGTCGCGCGTTCCGTCTCCGCCTCTCTCCCGAAGTCGCCGTTCGCCGCCGCCGCCGCCGTCGCCGCCGCCGCCGCGCGGAGCGTCTCCTCGCCCCTCGCGCGCTCCGCGGCGACCGCGGCCGCGACCGCGGTCTCGATCGCGGCGAGATGCTCGCGACGCGCGTCGCTCCGCGGGTCGCCCGCGCCCTCGCTCGCGGCGACCTCTTCCTCGAGCCTCGCGAGCTTCGCCTCCGCGCGCGTCCTCGCGTCGCGTTCCCTCCGCGTCGTCTCCGCGGAACTCGCGAGCCTCGCTTCGAACATCGCCTCCGCGCGCGCGCTCGCTTCCTCCGCGGCGACCGCGACGGCGCGAGCCACCTGCGCCTCGACGACGTCGTCGGCGCGCCGCGCGCGTATCCGAAGCCCCGCGTTGTCCGCCTCGAGCGCAGCCATCTCGCCGTCGACGACGTCTACGATTCTCGCCTCGGCGCGTTCGGCGCGCTCGCGCGACTGCCGCAACAGCTCGCGCATCTTGTCCGTCGCGAGCTTCTCCTCCTCCACCGCGACGCTCGCGTCCTCCGCGCGCGATCGCATCAGCGCGATCACCGCGTTCGCCTCTTCGAGCGCGATGGACGTCTTCGCGTGCCTCCCTCGGAGCGCGTCGAGCTCCGCGCGCGTCGCCGAGAGCGTCTCCTCGAAATCGCGCGCCATCGCGTCTCTCGTCTCGTCCCACGCCTCCGCGTCGTCCGCCGCGTCGCGGCGCGCCGCGTCCAGCGCCGCGTTCAGGCTTCGGACCTCGTCCTCGAGCTCGGACGCGACGCGCGCGTCCTCGCGCAGCCGCGTCGCCTCGCGCGCCTTGGCGTCGAGTCGTCGACGGAGCTCGTCGATGGAGAGATCCGTCTCCGCCGCGGGGGCGATCGAGCACGACGCCACCGGCGAGGGCGAGGTGGAGAGCCGCCTCCCGCGGAGAGCCGCGGAGGCGAACGCGGAGGATGGGGGCGTCGGCGGCGGCGCGCGCGACGCGGACGCGGACGGAGGAGGCCGCGGCGTCGCGGCGGTGATGGACTCGGCGCGCATCATGTCCGCCATCGCGTTCGCGACGACGCCGCGCTCGGCCGCGAGCGCGGTCATCGCGCGCTCGCGCGCGGCGGCGACGCGCTTCTGCTCCCTTCGCGCGCTGAGCAGGTCCGTCATGTCGGCGACGGACGGCGGGGGCGACGGCGACGAGGGCCCCGCCCCGCGCTCCCTGTTGTGAACTCCGACGAGAAGCTCTGCCGATGCCGCCTCCTCTGTCCTGTCCGAGGGGAAACGTTCTGTTGAAAGGCGCGGTATGGGTCAACACCCGGGTTGAAACCGAATTACATTTTTTTGGGGTCGACGTCGCGGTCAATTTCATCGACAGTGAGCGAGCGCTGTGAGCCGTCCAAATGCCGTCGTTTCGCTTCTCATCAGCCTTTCCGCGATCGAAGGTCGCGCGCGGGAACACAACGACGGGCGACGCGGTCGCGCTTCGAAACCCATCTCCGACGATATGGCGGACTTCGTCGGCAAGCAGTTCACCAAGGACGAGGTCGCGGACAAGGTCCTCGAGCAGTACGACGAGGAGCAGACGCGCGTGTTCTACCAGTGCGTGATGGGCGGTGGCGGGTACGACATCCACTTCGGCATCTACAAATCCCCCACCGACGGCGTGAAGGAGAGCTCGCAGCACACGACCGACTGGATGATGACGCAGATGGAGTGGGCGATGCCGACTCCGCTGAACGCGTCGCATCGCGTCTTAGACCTCGGGTCCGGCCACGGCGGCGGCAGCCACGCGATGGCGCAGCGATTCGGTTGCAAAGTCACCGGGTACAACCTCGGCCCCGGGCAGAACGCGCTCAACATGACGCGCTGCAAGGAGCTCTCCATCGACCACCTCGTCGACGCGAAGGTCGGGAACATCAACGATCCGCTCCCGGAGGAGTGGACGGACGCGTTCGACGCGGTGTGGAGCTGCGAGGTCTTGTGCCACGCCGGCGACAAGGTGGCGCTGTTCAAGGAGCTCGTCCGATGCCTCAAGCCCGGCGGCGTCTTCGTGTTCTCGGACATCATGGGCGCGGACGGCGCGGACGAGAAGGCGCTGAAAGGGTTCACCGATCGCAACGCGACGACGTTCATGGGGCGACCGTCGATGTACAATGAGTTCTTGAAAGACTCCGGGTTCATGTACGTGACGTGGTGGGACGGGAGCCATCACCTCGAGCGGTATTTCCGCAACATGCTGTCGCAAATCCACGACAACCGCGAGGAGATGACGTCCAAGGGAATCACGGATCAGTACTTGGACAACTGGGTGTCCTCGCTCACGGAGCGCGCAGACATTCAGAAGGAGAAAGGGGTGTTCGCTTGGGGCGTCTTCGTCGCGCGGAAGCCCCTGGAAGGGGAGCTCGTGCTGTGATCGGCGAGGACGACCGCGGCGGGCGAGGGAGCGCGGCGATCGACAGAGAGCCGCGTTCCCCGGAGACGAATTCCCCTGCATAAAACATGCATTCATAACATACGTGACACAATATTTTTTATATATATAACGACACGAGTTATTCACTCGCGCGTGCGCATACTGCAATGAATCGATAATCGATCGCGACTGACGCCAGCCGTATTTCGGCCGCGGGCATCGCGCGGAAAAGGAATAATATGGTGAACCCGCCGTGGCGCGCTTTGCTTTCGCGCTCAGTTCTCGCCCGGGAGCATCGTGTCCGTGCCCGCGCCCTGGAGCTCGCACGCGCCGCCGAGCTTCCCCGTGAGGTGCGAGACGCAGTCCGCCTCCTTCGTGAGCTCCTCCTCGCTCGCCTTGATCTTCTCGCGGAGCCAGTCGTTGATCTCCAAACCCTCGACGATCTCGTACGACCCGTCCCCTTTGCTGCGGCACGGCATCGAAAACACGATCCCCTCCGCGATCCCGTACGGGTTCCCGTCCGTGCTGACCGCGGTGGAGAACCAGTCGCCCTCCGGCGTCGGCGTCACGAGGGATTTGATCGCGTCCGCGATGGACACCGCGGTGGACGCCGCGGAGGACCGGCCCCACTTTTTAATCAACGCGCCGCCGCGCGTCTGAATCGTCGGCGTGAACTCCTCCTCGAGCCACGCGTCGTCGCCGATCACCTCCACCGCCTTCTTGCCGTCGATCTTCGCGTTCACGAAATCCGGCACCTGCGTCGTGGAGTGGTTCCCCCAGATCGTGACGTTCGAGACGGTGTCGTAGAACACGCCCGCCTTGAGCGCCAGCTGGCACTTGGCGCGGTTCTCGTCGAGACGCGTCAACGCGTGGAAGTTCTTCCGATCGAGGTTCGGCGCGTTCTCCATCGCGATGAGCGCGTTCGTGTTGCACGGGTTACCGACGACGCACACCTTGCACGTCTTGTTCGCCACCTCGTTCAGCGCCTTGCCCTGCTCGACGAAGATTTGGCCGTTCATCTCGAGGAGATCCGAGCGCTCCATCCCGGGCCCGCGCGGCTTGGCGCCGATGAGCAGCGCCCACTCCGCGTCCTTGAAGATCTTCAGCGGGTCGATCCCGATGTTGACCTGGCGGAGGAGCGGGTAGAGCGAGTCCTCGAGCTCCATGGCGACGCCCTCGAGCGCTTCCTTGGAGCGCTCGGAGCCGAGGAGGTTGAGGATGATGGGCTGGTCCGCGCCGTACACCTCGCCGGAGGCGATCTTGAAGAGGAGGTGGTTCGAGATCTGCCCCGCCGCGCCGGAGACGGCGACGACGATCGGGGTCTTCCACCCCGCGGACTTGGCCGCGACGTCGTTCGAGATGTCGTAGTTGAGCTTGAAGACGCCGTACGGCTCGCCCTCCTCCGCGGCCGCGCGGGTCGTCACGGAAACGCGAAGCGACGATTTCGCGAACGCCGCGCGAGGCGCGGCGGCGAAGACGCGCGCGTTCGCGAGCGCGGGGGACGCGGCGACGCGCGCTGCGGAGAGACGAAGAGAGCGGTCCGTCCGTCGCGGGGAGTGGAGGGGGCATGGCGCGCGTCAGTCGTCGTCGTCGCGCGCGTCGAGGAGGAGACGGCGAGAGAGGAGGGAACGACGCGAGGACGGACGGCGATCGCGCGACGCTTCCGGCCTTCTCCCGGCCGCCGCTTTTTTCGGGCGCGAACGATCGGAGCGCGCGCGCGCGCGGAGAGGAGGCGCGCACCCGCGCGGCGGCTCGTCGTGCTCGTCTTCGCCGCGGCGGCGAAGACGAGGGCGGTGGCGTTCGTGGCGATGGCGGCCATGGTGTGCGTGTGGCGCGCGGCGAAGGCGTCGGCGACTGTGTCGGACTCCGTGCAGGCTTTCGGGTGCGAAGAGACGCGGCTGATGAGACGAAGGGTCGACGCGACGCTGACTGGTCCGTTCGTCTCGTACAGTCATGGCTTCCGTCAGTCCGTACTACGTAGTAGTTTTTCGCACGGCACCTCTGTAAACCTGACGCGCCCGCGAAAGGGGCTCTCGCGGGCGCATCGCTCTCCGCGCGGAGGCCGGGCTGGCAGGCGCGCGGTCGTCATGGCGACGCTGGAGAACTTCCTCGACGCCGCGGCCGCGGCGGTGAACGCGAACGACGGCGCGACGCTCGCGCGGCTGCTCGACGTGAACCTCGCGGACGCCGCGCGCGCGGTCGAGGGCGCGATCGCGTCCGACGCGGGGCTCAATCTCGGCGCGCAGTGCGCGTCCAAGATCCGCGCGCCGTACGACGAGATATTCGCGCACCACTGCCAGTGCCTCGCGGCCAAGGCGGAGAACCGCGGCGACGACGCGTTCGTGTCGTGCAAGGCGACGACCGAGGCGTTCGTGAAGGACTACAGGACGTGCGACACCGCGTGGGCGATCGACGCGCTGGTGCGATTTGTGAAGAACGCGCGCGAGCTCGCGGACGTCGCGGACGCGGAGGCGGTCGCCGCGAAGAAGAAACCGGAGCGGCTCCACGACGCGGGCGCGCTGCTCATGCTCGTGTACAGGAACTCGTCCAACACGAGCGTGAAGGAGAAGAAGCGCGCGTCGCTGTTCCTCGTCGTGATGCTCTTCAAGATCTACTTCAAGCTGAACACGCTGCACCTGTGCAAAAACCTCATAAACGCGGTGAACCTGCCGACGTTCCCGCCGTTCGAGGGGTTCCCGAAGTCGCAGCGCGTGACGTACTCGTACTACGTCGGACGGCTCGCGGTGTTCGACGACGACTTCGAGAAGGCGGAGACGCACTTGACGTACGCGTTCGAGAAGTGCCCGCGGACGCATCTGAAGAACAAGACGCTCACGCTGAAGTATCTCGTCCCCGTCAAGCTCGCGCTCGGGAAGCTCCCCACGAAGGCGCTGCTGGAGAAGTACGGCCTGGACGAGTTCGTGGAGATAGCGGACGCGCTGCGGCAGGGGAACGTGCGGAAGTTAAACGACGCGCTCGCGAAGTTTCAGGTCGTGTTCATAATGCAAGGGACGTTTTTGGTCTTGGAGCGCCTGCGGGAGCTCGCGATTCGGACGTTGTTCGTCAAGGTGCACGCGTACTGCGCGGCGAAGTACCCCGCGAAGGCGAACCAGGTTTCGCTGGCGCTGTTCTTACGCGCGCTGCACTGGCTCGGGTGCGACGAGATGGATCTGGACGAGGTCGAGTGCGTCGTCGCGAATCTGATCATGCGGAAGAGGATCAAAGGGTACGTCTCGCACGAGAAGCGAGTCGTCGTGCTGTCGAAAGTGAGCCCGTTCCCGCCGTGGTGTTGATAGGGTAGAGTATTCGTACTGTCGTAGTTACCGCTAGCCGCTACTATTAATGAAGTTAAACCGTTGAACTATCGCCCTCGGGGCGGAGGCGGAGTCTCGTTCGGCGTCGCGCGCGTCGCCGGGGAGAATCGCTCTTCGAGCGAGCGAAAGCACGCCATGCTCCGGAGGCGGGAGAAATGAAGCCGACGAGCGACGAATTTTTTTCACCTGCGGAGATCGAGGTTTCTTGTGACTAAATACACATACATGCATTTCCGAGAGGTCCACGTCGGATTTCCGCCGACAATTCTGAGCCGGTAATTCGGGTACGGTAGATCGGGTAAAAATAAAAGTACGACGCCCTGCATTGTCTTACGCGCATCTCATCCCCCACCGCGTCCGTCCGCGTCCTTAAGCGACAGAATCATCATGGCGCCCGTGTGGGAGTCATGCTGCATGGCCATGGGCAAAGTCCTCGACGACAACGCCAAGCTGGGGTTCAAGCACGGAACGTTCGGGTGCATGGGCGACTGCAACGATTTCAGCTCGTACCAGTGCAGAACATGCGCGTGCTTCGGACCGGTGCAGGCCGGCATCAACAACGAGCTGCTCGACTCGTCGTGCTGCTGCGGCGTGTGCTGCGCGCTGACGCCGTGCCTCCCCGTCTTCGCGACGTGCCAGCGGTACAAGGCGAGGAAGCATTTTGAGATCGCACCCGCGTGCATCAAGTGCGGGAAAGGCGTCTGCGAAGACATCCTCTGCGCGTTCTTCTTTCCGGCGTGCGTCATGAACCAGATCGCGAACGAGTTCGGCGAGAAAGCAGCCTTCACGAACCACAAGATCCTCGATCTCATGAAGTCGCCCACGATGCAGCAGATGAAGTACAAGGGTTCCGCCGAGCCGAAGGCCGACCCGAAGAAGGCCCCGTCGAATAAGAAGTGAGCGATTTATCCGATTCCTTCCGACGTTCGAAGGTTTATCTCGACTCGGTCACCGCTACAACATACAAGGTCGTGGCCGCTGATGTTATAAACTATATAACCTATATGACTATCGTCCTCGGGGAGGAGGCTCGTACGCCGCGTACTTCGCCGGGGAGAACTTCTCTTCGAGCGCGTAGTGCTCCTCGAACCCGACGGCCTCGTACAGCGCGTCGAACGGCGTGAGCAACTCGTCGCCGACCGCGCGGTTTCCCTCCTTCATCGCCTCGATCGCGGCGTTCACCCCGCGCACGCTCGCGCTCAGAAGCGTGAGGCCGTGCAACACCGCGTCGTACCCGAGATTCGCGCACTCGGTCGGCGTCAACAGCTTCCGTCCCGGCTTTTCAACCTGCGCGAGCATCGTGAACGGCGTCGCGACGCGCGCGTTAAACGCCTCCATCTCGCGCTCGCCGTCCGGTCCCTCGAAGTACACGACGTCCGCGCCGAGGTCCTCGAACGCCGCGCACCGCCACATCGCTTCCTCGAACGCGCCGCCGCCGCCGTCGCTCGCGAGTCGCGCGTCCGTGCGCGCGACGATCATGAAGTCGCCACCTCGCGCGCGAATCTCGTCGCGAGCGTCCACCGCGGCGGCGACCCTCGCGACCGCCTCCGCGCGGCTCACGACTCGCATCCCGTCGCTGAACGCGCATCGCTTCGGAAAAATCTGGTCCTCGATCGACACCGCGGCGAACCCGGCGGCGTGGTACGCGAGGACGGTGCGTCGGACGTTCGCGACGCCGCCGAAGCCCGCGTCGCCGTCGCCGACGACGGGCATGGCGCCCGCGGCGCGACAGACGGCGGTCCCCGCGTCCGTCATCGCGGTCAAGTCCGCGAGGCCGACGTCGGGGTCGCCCAGGCGCGACGCGGCGACGCCGTAGCCGGACATGAACGCGCACTGGAAGTCGTTCGCGGCGAGGAGGCGCGCGCCCAGCGCGTCGTAGACGCCCGGCATCAGCTCGCAGCCGTCCTTCGAGAGCACGTCGCGGAGCGCGGACGCGGGGGAGGACGAAGACGACGCGCGCGGCGCGAGGACGGCGCGCGGGAGTCGACGTCGACGTCGGGGCGAGGGCGGCGGCGCGGACGCGGACGCGGACGCGGACGAGGCGACGCGCGCGACGCAGCTCGTCATCGCGCCCGCCGCGGCGAAGAGTGTGGACTCGTCCGACATGATGATGACGCGAGTCGAGAACGAGATAGAACTCGTCGGACGAGTCCCGCGCCTTCGCGCCACTGCCGCGCCGCCCCCGCCCGCGCGCAGCAGGACCGCGTCGCATCATGTCGCGCGGGGATCTGGGCGTCGCCGCGGTCGTCGCCGCCGCGGGCGGCCTGATGTGGGGCGTCGCGAAGCTCGCGAAGCTCCCGTGCATGGCCGCGTCGTCCGCGCCGGTGCTCCTCGGGATGCGAGGATGGCAGCTCGCGAACGTCGCGTCGTTCGCCGTGAACGTCGTCTCCGTCAGCGTCGGCGGACGCGTCGACGGCGAGATGGCGAAGGAGGCGAAGCGCGCGGCGAAGGCGAAGCGCGAGGGGAAGAGCGAGGCGGAGGCTGCCGCGGGCGTCCCCAGGGACTCCATCTACCGATCTCTCTTCACCCCCGCGGGGTGGGCGTTCGCGATCTGGGGCGTCATCTACCTCGGCGAGTCCGTCTTCGTCGCCGCGCAGGCGAGCCCGTCGCTCGCGTCGTCGTCGCGCGAGCTCTACGCCGCGCTCGCGCCGTGGTGGACCATCTCGTGCGGGCTGCAGGCGCTGTGGTGCGTCGCGTTCCGGCCGTGGGCGAGACGCCCGCGGCATTTCTGGATCTCGGGCGCGCTGCTCGCGACGGAGGCGGTCGCGCTCGGTCGCGTCGCGCGTTGCTTCGTCGGCGCGTCTCCTTCGCGGTCGCTCTCGACGACCGAGTTTCTCGCCGCGCGTCTGCCGCTCGGCCTGCACTTCGGGTGGATAACCGCCGCGGCTGTCGTCAACCTGAACTCGCTCGTCGCCGTCGCCGGCGCGGCGCCGCACGCGCAGCTCTCCATCGCGTTCGCGTCCGTCTGGGGCGCCGCGGCGCTCGGGGTCGCCGTCGCGCTCGGCACCGGCGACGCCGTCTTCGCGGCGACGCTCGCGTGGGCTCTGGCGGCGGTGGCGAGCGACGGCGGGACGCGGACGAGGGAGGTGATGGGCGAGACGCCGCTTTGGGCGCTGTCGCACGGCGCGGCGTGGGCGGCGCGGGCGTTGGCGGCGGCGAGCGCGATCGCGGTCGCGATCTACTGGAAGATACCGTAGGCGCTAGATAGATGGGCACTCCTCGAAGAGGTGTTTGTCGTGCTCCGAACGCGAACTCGTTCTCGTCGTGCGTGTGCTCGCGGCTCCCGTGTGAGGGGCGAAATCACTACGTATAACCTCACATCGGTCGCGCAGTCGCGCGCTCGACGACGTACAGTGGTGATTTCGCCTCTCATGTATATCGCGTATCCGCCAGTGCGTTTCGCGATCTCGTCGCGTCGTGGTCGTCACTCGATCGCGCGCGTCCGCGACGACGTCACACGCGCACCATGAGCTGGCGACGCGCCGGGGAGGCGCTTCTCCGCGGGGTCGCGTCCGCGGCCGCGAGCGGCGGCGGCGCGACGACGTCGCGGTTCGCGCCGTCGTCGTTCGCGTCCGCCGCCGCCGCCGCCGACGTTTCAGCGTTCCTCGCGCGAAGAACGCGATCGCTCGCCGACGCCGCGCGTTCAGCGCCGACGCGATGGCTGTCGCACGCCTCCGCGGCGGTTCGCGCGGACGCGGCGACGGACGACGACGCGGCGGTCGATCACGGCCGCGTGAGGAACTTCGCGATCATCGCGCACGTCGACCACGGGAAGACGACGCTGCTCGACACGCTCATGAAGCAGGGCGCGCAGACGGTCGCGACGGAGCGCCTCATGGACAACAACGCGCTCGAGAAGGAGCGCGGGATCACGATCAGCAGCAAGTACACCTCGTTCCCGTGGCGCGGCGTGACGATGAACGCGGTCGACACCCCCGGGCACGCGGACTTCGGCGGCGAGGTGGAGCGCGTGCTCGACCTCGTCGACGGATGCCTCCTCCTCGTCGACGCCACGGAGGGGCCGATGGCGCAGACCAAGTTCGTCCTCGGCAAGGCGCTCCAGAAGGGCCTCAAGCCGATCGTCGTGATGAACAAGGTGGACAGAGACAACGTCACCGAGGAGGGCTGCGCGGCCGTGGAGAGCAAGCTGTTCGACCTGTTCGCCGCGCTCGGCGCGGACGACGACCAGCTCGATTTCGCCACGGTGTACGCGTCGGCGCGAGAGGGCGTCTGCTCGCTGGATCTGGGAGACGCGCAAGCTCGCGTCCGAGAGAACCGCGGGAAGGGCGACATGAGCGCGCTGCTGGACGTGCTCCTCGAGCGCGTCCCCGCGCCGGACGGGGACGAGGAGGACGAGTTCAAGATGCTCGTGTCCATGATCGAGCACGACGCGTTCGTGGGAAGGCTCGTCACCGGACGCGTCGCGAGCGGGCGGGCGAGAGTCGGCGACCGCGTCAAGGCGCTCGCGATGCGTCCTGCGTCGGGGGAGGACGTCGGCGCGTCGTCGTCGTCGTCCGAGAAAGAGGTGGGGAGGATCACGAAGATTTTCACCTCGCACGGCGGCGTCCGCGCGCCGCTCGAGGAGGCGAGAGCCGGCGACATCGTCAGCGTCGCCGGGCTGACGACGGCGACGGTGACGGACACCGTGTGCGCGCCGCTCGTCGCGGACCCGCTGCCGGCGACGCCGATCGACCCGCCGACGTTGAAGATGACGTTCGGCGTGAACGACAGCAGCCTCGGCGGGAAGGAGGGGAAGAAACTGACGGGTCGGAACATCTGGGACAGGCTCTGCGCGGAGGCGGAGACGAACGTCGCGCTGCGCGTGGTACAGCTGGCGGACAGCGGCGGGGACAAGTTCGAGGTCCAAGGGCGCGGCGAGCTCCACCTCGGCGTGCTCATCGAGACGATGCGCCGCGAGAAGTTCGAGATGTCCATCTCCCCGCCCGTGGTGTTGTATAAGACCGATCCGGAGACCGGGAAGCGTCTGGAGCCGATCGAGGAGATCGTCGCGGAGGTGGAGGAGGAGCACGTCGGCGCCGTCATCGAAGCGGTGACGCTTCGAAAAGGCGAGCTCGTGGACATGGTCGTCGGCGCCGGCGAGGGCGGGAAAACCCGCCTGGAGTTCCTCGCCCCCTCCAGAGGGCTCATCGGGTTCAGAGCGACGTTCGTGAACGACACGCGCGGCACCGGGACGATGAACCGCGCGTTTCACTCGTACGGCGACTACCGCGGGTCGATGGACCGCGTGCGAAAGGGCGCCATCGTGTCCTCCGCGACGGGGACCACGACGACGTACGCGCTGGGAATGCTCGAAGCGCGCGGGACGCTGTTCGTGGGGCCCAAGACGGAGGTGTACGAGGGGATGATCATCGGCGAGAACAGTCGTGAGGAGAGCATGGAGGTGAACCCGTGCAAAGAGAAGAAGCTGACGAACATGCGCGCGTCCGGGAACGACGAGACGACGCGACTGACGCCGCCGAGGGCCATCGCTTTGGAGGAGGCCATCGGGTACGTGCAGAGCGACGAGCTCATCGAGGTGACGCCGAGCGCGATTCGGCTGCGGAAGGCGATTCTGGACGGGAACAAGCGCAAGGCGCAGAGCCGGAAGAAGAGCGAGCACTGACGATGACGAGCGAGCGTCGTCCTCAGCGTCGATAGGCTGTCGGCGCCGCTATTTTTATTTGAGTTGAAACGATTTTTTTGTAAACATCGCACGCGCGCGCGTCCGCCGCCGGGCGCGTCCATGGGTAAGCCGCCGCTCGGGGCCGCGCTCGCGCTCGCGCTCGGCGCGGGGATCGGGTTCTTCACGTCCTCGCGCGCGCGGCGCCGCGAGAAATCCAAGGCGGCGACGCGCGACGGCGGCGACGGCGGCGACGGCGGCGGCGAGACGGACGCCGCCTTCGGATCCGCGTACGCGACCGCGAGATCTCGCGCGCAGGCGGCGCTCCTCTCCGCGTTCGACGCGGACCTCGACGCCGCGTTCGCGGCCGCGTCCGATCGCTTCGGCCGCGCGAACCTCAAGCGCGTCCCGAACGACGACAAGCTCCGCGCGTACGCGCTGTACAAGCAGGCGACGCGCGGGCGATGCGTCGGCGCGAAGCCGCGCGTGCTGACGGACGGGACGACGAAACACGCCAAGTGGTGCGCGTGGGAGAAGCTCGGGGACATGCCCTCGGACGAGGCCAAGGGCGCGTACGTCGAGCTCGTCGACGCGCTGTTGGGCGAGGAGGAGGAGGCGGCGGGCGACGAACGCGGCGGAGGCGGGACCGAGGACGACGCCGACGACGGCGGGTTCGGCGGACCGGTATTCTCGCGCCCGGCGGCGGTCGTCGACGCCCCGGACGCGGACGACGACGACGCGTCGGCGGCGTCCGCGCCGTCGCCGCTCATCCGCCACGTCAAGAACGGCGATCTGGACTCCGTACAGCTCATGCTCGGGTTCGCGCGCGCGTCCGCGGACGCCGACGAAGACGAGAGCGTCGTCGACGTCGTGAACCGCGTCGACGCGCGAGGATGCACGGCGTTGCACCACGCCGCGGACGGCGATAAGATCGACATCGCGGAGGCGCTCATCGACGCCGGCGCGAATATCAACGCGCGCGACGACGACGGCGCGACGCCGCTGCACTACGCGTGCGTCGTCGAGCTCCCGGGGATGTGCGCGCTTCTGCTGTCGAAGGGCGCGGAGGTTGGCATACCGGACGACGACGGCGAGACGGCGGCGTCGTTGGGGTGTTTCGAGCTGTCGCAGAGGCACATGGAGAAGGTCATGGCGGAGTTTATGGCGGAGGAGGCGACGAAGGACCGCGTGGATTACCTGGACATCGCGGCGAAGTTTGAGGCCGACCTCGCGAGGAAGAAAACGGACGAGGAGATCGTCTAGCTAATAGAGAATACTCGAGCCGCTACTAGGTTTAGGTACTACGTCGCAAACTCACTTCGTCTCGCTACTCACGCGGCGTCCGGCGACCACGCGAACGTCGACGACGGCACGTCCCCCGGGTCCAAAAACACCGGCCCGTCCCCCAACTCGACGCTGTGAAACGCCCGACGCATCCACTCCGCGATCAAAAACACCCCGCGCGCGGCCCCCTCCACGAACCCCTCCACCGTCCAACTCGCCGTCACGACGCACGACCCGCCGAGCGCGTACGTCTCAGCCGCGTACTTCACGTCGTCGCACGCGCGCTTCAGGTACTCCATGCGCTCGTCGTCGTTCGCGTGCGCGACGCTCGGACTCGCGCCACCGAGCTTGAATGCACCGCACGGCGCGCTGTACGCGCGCGTACGCGTCGCGCTTCGACTTCCCCCGAGCGCGCGCTTGGAGCTTCGTGACGACGAACTCGCGGAAGCTCGCGTCGAAATTCTTCCGAGCCGGTTCCGGCGTTGATGACGTCGAAGTCGAAGGACGCGACGACGCGCGAGTCACGGCGTCGTCGACGACCGCGTCGACGACCGCGTCGACGACCGTTCGGTCGGCGTCGTCGTCGACGACGTCGCCGACGGCGTCGTCCATCGCGACGACGCCGTGGCGCGCGGGCGAGTGTATTGTTGACTCATCACGCGCTCCTCTTTTCGGTCGACGAGTACGAGTCGCGTACGTACAGTACGCGAAATATCGACAGACTCTTTACCCATACGGGTAAAGATTGGTCGCATTTCGCAGCAATTGGCCACAGGGCCAATCGTTCGAGCGTATTTAGGGTACGGGAACTGCTTCCAAAGTCGATTTTTGCATCCCGCCGCCCACTTCCGCTCGCGCGCGAGAGGCCCGCGTCGTTCGCGATGGCGGCCTCCGGCGGTGGTGGAGGACGCTCCGCGATGTTGACGTCGAGGTGCGCGCGCGCGCCCCGCTCGATCGTCCGATGAACCCTCCGCCGCGCGCGCGTCGTCGATCGATCGGTCGCCCGCCGCGGTTTTTCGGATTACTTTTTCCCGCCGCCCACGCTCCCGAGGTTAGGTCGAGCTCTGATCCGCCCTCCCCCATCCCTTCACGACGCGCAGTCAATTCGCGGAGCACGCGAAGAAGCTCGTGGACGCGAAGACCGCGAAGGATAAGCTCGCGCTCGCGACGGAGATTCGAGACGCGATCGAGATCGTGAACGTCGGGAGCGAGTACCCGAAATTCTTAGACGCGTACCTCCCCGCGTTCACGTCCTTGCTCGAGTCCGTCCCGCCCACGACGTCGGACGGGCCGGAGCATAAACTCCGCAACGTCATCCTCGAGATGATGAACCGGCTGCCGCACAACGAGACGCTGCGGCCGCACGACAAGGCGCTCCTGAAGCTCGCGATGGACGCGTTGAGGAAGGAGAACGAGGACAACGCGCTCATCTGCCTTCGAATCATCTTCGACCTTCATCGGAACTTCCGCCCGAGCCTAGAGTCCGAGGTGGAGCCGTTCCTGCAGTTCGTGTGCGAGGTGTACAAGGGCGTGAACGAGACGGTGACGACGACGTTCGGGGATGAAACGGCCGGGGTAAAACCGTTAGCCGCCGACGCCGTCCCCACGGGCGTGCAGACGCTCTCGACGCGATCGTTCAAAGTCATGACCGAGTGCCCGCTCATCATCATGCTCCTGTTCCAGCTGTACGCGCGGCTCATCCCGCCGAACATCCAGATGTTACTGCCGCTCATGGTCCAGACGATCGCGCTGAAAGGCCCGGCGCCGAGCGCGGTGCCGTCGCACTTACGCCAAGCGTTCGGCGACATGAAAGGCTCGCAAGTGAAGATGGTGTCGTTCGTGACCTACCTCCTTCGCGGGTACGCGGAGGCCATTCTCCCGCACCAAGAGGCGATCAGCAGCAGCATCGTGGAGCTCTTAAAGTCGTGCCCGGACAACGTCGCGGTGCGAAAGGAGCTCCTCGTCGCGACGCGGCACGTCCTCAGCGCGCAGGATTTCAGAAGAGGATTTTACGCGCACCTCGACACGCTCCTGGACGACGAAGTTCTCGTCGGGACCGGCAGGGCGTGCTACGACGCGCTGCGACCGCTGGCGTACTCCTTCCTCGCCGAGCTCGTGCACCACATGCGTCTGGAGCTCTCGCTCGTGCAGATACGACGCGCGGTGTACATGTTCAGCCGTAACGTCCACGACGCGTCTCTTCCGCTGTCGATCCAGATGACGTGCGTGCGTCTGATGCACCACCTCGTCGAGAGCATCTTCCGACGACGGAACGACCCGACGCAGGCTGCGGAGGCGCGCGCGAACCTGATACGGATACAAGACGCGACCGTGAGCAAATTTCGCACGGTCCGGCCGCAGGTGTACGGCTTGCTCGAAAACGCCAAGCGCGCGGAGCTCATCGAAGCCGCGATCGCGAAGGAGACGAAAGCCGCGCAAGACGCGCTCGCGCTCGGCATCACGACGAAGACGCCGCCGGGGACGGGCACGGCGACCTCGACGGCCGCGGAGGCGGCCGTGAAATCCGAGCCGGCGGAGAAGCCCAAAGAGAAGGAAAAGGAAAAGGAAAAGCCGAAGAAAAAACCGACGCGAGGCGGCCGCGCGGCGGCGAGAAAAGGCCGAGCCCGCGAGGAGAGCGAGTCCGACGACGACGACGACGACAAGGACGGCAAGGACGCGAACGACGCGGACGACGCCGACGGTAAGAAGAAAGGCGGCGACGGCGACGGCGACGGCGCCGCAGCGAAACCAAAGTACCCCGAGCTCATCGGGTACGGAGGCAAGGTGCACACCCCCGCGGAGGCCATCAAGCGCCTCGCGGACACCAAGGCGCTCGTCAAGACGCTGGTGATCGGGATGAAGACCCTCCTGTGGTCCATCACGAACTTCCACAGCGGCAGCGCGCAGCAGCAGAACGCGTCCGGGTCCTCGATCGCGAAAGGGTTCAGAGAGGGCGAGCTCCGACGCGCGTCCGGGTTCGTCGCCAACGGCGTGCGGTGTCTCGCGTTGTACCAGGGCACCGAGTGCGCGGAGATGTGCACGCACTTCGCGGAGGCGCTCGCGGTGCTGGACCCGCGCAACTTCCTCGACGTCATCTGCCTCAGGCTCGACGCGCTCCTCGGCGGCGGCGAGCCGTACGAGCTCGCGCCGATGGTCCAGCTCCCGCACTTGCTCCTGCAGTCCACCGCGTTGGGCCGGTCCTTCGCGGACGCGTTAGCGACGCACCTCGTTCGCGATCGCCTCGACGCGCTCGCCGAGCCGTCGACGGCGCAGTCTCAGCTCGTCTTGAAACTCTTCTCGCTGCTCATGCACGCGGTGTCCAAGTACAGCAGCTGCGAGGCGGTGCTGTCTCCGCACGTCGTCCCGCTCGTGGAGGCGTGTCTGAAGGCGCTGAAAGAGGTGGAGGATCCGTCCGCGTACGTGCGTCTGCTGCGCTACCTGTTTCGCGCGCTCGCGCAGGCGAAATTCGATCTGCTGTACCGAGAGGTCGTGCCCGTGTTACAGCCGTGTCTCGACACGCTGCTCGCGATGCTACACGGCCCGGACACGCACGAGCTCTCGGACACGGTGGTGGAGCTGTGTTTGACGTTGCCGGCGCGGCTGTCGAGCATACTGCCGCATCTCCCGCGGCTGGCGCACCCGTTGCTTCGCGCGTTGAAGTCGACGAGCAGCGAGCTGCAGCTCCTCGGCCTTCGCACGTTGGAGTTTTGGGTCGACTCGCTGAATCCGGATTTCCTGGATCCGTGCATCGCGGAGGTGGAGCCGCAGCTCATGCTCGCGCTGTGGGCGCTGCTCAAGCCGCAGCAGTCCGGCGCGCCGTTCGGCGCCAAGGCGTTGCAGATGCTCGGTAAGCTCGGCGGTCGGTCGCGGTGTTTCCTTCGCGAGCCGTTGGAGCTGGAGGCGAAGCCGAATCCGGAACACGGCCTGCGGTTGATCCTGACGTTCAAACCGGAGACGTCGTTCTTAGTCCCGCTCGATCGGTGCATCGCGCTGATGAAGACGATCCTCGCCGCGCCGCCGGTGCCAAACTTGAAAGGCGCGGAGGCGCTCGTGGAGCATCGTCGTCAGGCGCTGTCGTTTTTACGCGCGTGCCTGGCGAGCGTGTTGAACCTCAGCGGCGGCGCGGTGAAGACCGCGCCCGGCCAGACCGAGATCAAGAACGCGCTCGAGGGCGTCGTCGCCGGGTGGTTCACGGACGACGCCGGGAGAGACAAGGACGACGCGAACGGCGACGGGAAGGGCGGCGACGGCGCGGACGCGGACGCCGCCGCGGGATCAAGAGCCGCGCAGCTCGGGAACAAGACGAAAACGCAGCTCATGGCTGAACAGAACGTCTTCAAGCAGCTGCTCACGACCGTCGTCGCCGCGGAGGCGGACCCGACGCTGAAGAAGGCGAACGACGGGTTCGTCGACGCCGTCGCGGAGCACTTCGCGATGCTGTTCGTGTCCGGGATGGCGCCGTTGCAGCCCGGCGGGAGCGGACGAAGCGGCGCCGCCGTCGCCAAGGAACGCAAAGCCGCCGCCGCCGCGGCGGCGAAGAAGAAGAAACAAGACGCGGAGAAGGAGGAGGAGGAGGAAGGGAAGAAGGCGTCCGCGTCCAAGCGCGGCGGTCGCCGCGGTCGCAGCAGCGCCAAAAAGAAAGACGAGCCGGAGTCCGAGGAGGAGGAGGACGACGACGAGACCGCGGCGGACGCGGACGACGCGACGCCGGCGAAGAAACGACCGGCGGCGGCGGCGCTGAAAGAGCTCGACGCGTGCCTCTTCCTCGACGCCCTCATGGACGCGCTCGAGTCCGGCAAGCGCCCGCACGTCGACGCCGCGATGCGCGCGGTGAAGATTTTCATCGACGCGGTCATGACGCTCGCGTGCGACCCCGCGGTCGTCGGCGTGACGGAGGAGGACGCGGCGCAGGCGAGGGAGGCGGTGGAGACGGCCGAGGCGGCGGCGAAGAGGGAAGCCGAGGCGAAAGCCGCGCGCGAGAAGGCGAAGAAAGAGGGCGCGCTTCGGGGGGCGAAGAGCTCGAACTCGGGCGACGACGACGCGGACGCGAAGGGCGCGGCGGACGGCGGCGACGCGGACGTCAAGGACGACGACGCGAAGAAGAAGGGGGACAAGGCGACGGACAAGTCCCCAGCGAAAAAGGGCGGGAAAAAGAGCAAAAAGGGCGACGACGACGACGAAGACGACGACGCCGACGACGAGGATAAGGACGAGGACAAGGAAAAAGCAAAGGACGCCGCGGCCGAAGACAAGGCGGCGAAAGACGCGGCGGCGGCGAACGAGAAGGACGACCGCGACGCCGACGCGGACGCCGCGGCGGCGGCGGCGCTCAACGCCCCGATCCCCCCCGCGCTCCGATCGCTCGTCACCGAGCTCCTCCCTCGTCTCATGCACTGCTGCTTCAAGAAGAGCTGGCAGGCGACCGTCGGCGGCGTCGGCGGGATCGACGCGCTCTCGCGCGTCCTCCCCATCTCCGCGCTGACGCCGCAGCTCCCGAGGGTGCTGCAGGCGCTCCTGCGCGCGATGCGATCGCTGCCGCCGCACGCGGTGAGCGAAGTGCGCGCGGCGACGGACGCCTTTCACCGCGTCTTGGAGGCGGCGACGCCCGAGGGCGTGATCCTCCGCGGCGACGACGCCCCCGCCGGGCTCGAGGCTGCGATCGGCGTCCTGAGCGAGGAGCTTTTCAGCACGTCGTCGTCGCCCACGGTGCGTCCGGTCGTGGAGCGCGCGATTCGCGGGCTCGCCGCGCGGAGCGGGCTCGACGTGGGGAAGGTTTTGGACGTCAAGACGACGCACGTCGCGTCGTTGCTGTCGCGGCCGCTGCACTCGCGGCACGTGCACGTGCAGACGCAGGTGGTGCACATCCTGAACTTTTGCGTCTCCGCGACCCCGGAGCCGCTCATCAAGATCAGCGCGCAGGCGAACTTCGTGAGCGTCCTTCAAGAGGCGCTCGCGGTGGCGGAGAACGACGACCCGAGCACGCTGAAGGCGCGTTCTATACACTGGTCCCCATACGACCGCGTTCGCGTGGTGAACGCCGATCCTTAAGGACTTTTCCCGGCGTGTCTCTCCGCCCACCCCTCGCTTTCAATCCCCGCCCTCGACGCCTTTCAACTCCACCTGACGCCTTTCAACTCCGACATTCGCTTGGTGCTCCTCGACGCTGAAGACGGAGCCGGGCGCGTCGGAGAAGCTCCACGCGTTGCGCGCGGCGTGCATTCGCCTCATGTGCAGCGTCATGGCGCTTCAAGAGCTCAAGACCCCGCCGCCGGGGCAGGAGCAGCTCGCGCAGCTCAGACAGCGGATCATCACGATGTTCTTCAAGTCGCTCACGTCGCGGAGCGCGGAGGTGGTGAACATCGCGAAAGAGGGTTTGAAACGCGTGATTCAACAGCAGTCGCTGTCGAAGGAGCTGCTTCAGTCGAGCCTGCGGCCGATTCTCGTGAACCTCGCGCACTATAAAAACCTTACGATGCCGCTGCTCGTCGGCCTCGAGCGACTGTTGGAGCTCTTGTCCAACTGGTTCAACCCGACGCTCGGGGAGAAGCTCCTCGAGCACCTCCGAAGGTGGCTCGAGCCGGATAACAAAGCCGTGGCGCCCGGGGGGCAACAGACGCAGGCGCGACCGCCGCCGAAGGACTTCAAGATCGCCGCGGCGATGATCAACCTGTTCCACTTGTTGCCGCAAGCCGCGGGGAAATTCTTAGAGCCGCTCGTGATGCTGACGATTCAGCTCGAGCAAGCGCTGCCGCAGAGCGGCGTGCACTCGGAGGTAAACTCGCTGTACCGGAAGCCGCTCGCGAAGTTTTTGTCGCGGTACGCCCCCGCGACGGTGGACTTTTTCCTCGCGCGGCTCTCGCAGCCGGCTTTTTTCTTCCGTCTCTTGGACATGATCCGCATGGAGAAGGAAGGGAAGCCCCTGCGGGAGGAGCTCGCGAAGAGCGCGAACAAGATCATCGCCGCCGCGTTCACGTGGCCGCGCCCCAACGCGGGCGCGAACGCCGCCGCGGACGCCGCCGCGAGCGAAGGCCTCAGCGGCGTCGGCGGCGGCGGCGACCTGAACGCGTACAACGGCTTGAAGCTCATCAACGTCCTCGCGAAGCACATGCCGGAGTGGCTGCACACGCAGCCCGAGCTCGTCTCGGTGCTCTGGGGTCGGTGGCGGTCCGAAGCGCGAGCGGAGCGGCTCAAGAGCGAAGAAATGCTCGCGCTCCCGGAGCTGCTCGAGTCCAAGAGGCTCGCGAAGTGCTTCGTGAACGTCGCGCGGAGCGACCGCGCGCAAGTCGGCGCGCTGTTCGACGTCTTATCCATCTTCGACACGAAAACGCGCGTGGACTTTACGTTTCTCGAGGAGTTTTACAAGAAAGAAGTCGCCGCGGCGTACACCCCGGAGGAGAAACACGACGTCCTGATGCACTTCCTGAACGCGTTCAAAGAGCAGTCGCTCACCGCCCCGGAGCTCGTCTCCGCGTTGAGACTCGTCATCATGCCGATGCTCGAGCACACGCTGAAGAACGTCGCGACGGACGCGAACGCGATGGAGGACGCGAAGAAGGTAATCACCGAAGACGCGGTGAACATGATCGTCGTCGACCTCCTCGAGACGGCGGACGAGGAGTCCTCCCCGGCGCACAGCGAGCCGCTTCGAATCCAACTCTTGCGGATGACGACGCTGCTGATTCGCAACCTCCCGGACGAGCTCGTGTCGCATCGCAAGGAGCTCATCAAGTTCGGGTGGAACCACCTCAAGAGCGAGGACAGCGGCAGCAAGCAGTGGGCGTTCGTGAACGTCTGCCATTTCCTCGAGGCGTACCAAGCCCCGGAGAAGATCGTGCTGCAGGTTTTCGTCGCGCTCTTGCGCGCGTGCCAGCCCGAGGCGAAGGAACTCGTGCGGCAGGCGCTCGGCGCGCTCACGCCCGCGCTCCCGAAGCGGCTGCCGCAGGGCGACCACAAGTACCCGATCTGGATTCGATACACGAAGAAGATTCTCGTCGAGGAAGGGCACTCGCTGCCGCACTTGATTCACGTCTGGAACTTGATTCACACGCACGAGAAGCACTTTTACGCGTCCCGCGCGCAGTTCGTGCCGCAGATGGTAAACTCGCTCTCGAGGCTCGGGTTGCCGTCGTCGTCGCCGCCGGAGAACCGAGTGTTGTCCATCTCCCTCGTCGAGCTCATCCTGCAGTGGGAAGAGCAGCGCGTCGAGCGCACCGCCGCGGCGGCGCTCGAGGACAAGCCCGAGGAGGAGGAGGAGGAGGACGACGAGGAAGAGGAGGAGGAGCCACCCGAGAAGGCGGGCAAGAAACGCGGCCGCGACGCCTCGGGAACGGACAAAAAAGACGCCGCCGCCAAGGGCGACAAGAAATCCAAGGGCGAAGGCGGCCGCGCGTCCCGCCGCCGCGGCCGATCCGCCGCGACGGACGACGACGACGAAGACGACGAAGACGCCGTCATGGCCAACGCGGACGACATCGAGCTCGGGGACGACAAGACCGCCGGCAAGAGCGACAAGTCCGTCGCCGCGCCCGCGGTGTCGATGTCCCCGGACGCGGACGAGTTCCAGCCCGCGCCGGCGATGTGCGAGATCCTCGTCAACTTCCTCGTCCGCATGGCGTTCCTCACGGGCGAGAGCAAGGACAAGGAGATGATCGCGTTGCACGCGCGCGCCGTCTCCCTCCTTCGCAAAGCGCTGACGGCGTGGCCGAAGGCGAACATCAAGTTCGGCTTCATCGAACGCCTCCTCGCGAGCTCCACCGCGAGCGGCGGCGACGCGACGAGCACCCTGTCCACCGGCCTCGCGGTGTTCAACATCGCGCTCGAGTGCGGCTGCGGGGACGAGTTCATCCGCGGCAACGCCCCGCAGGTCGCGTCCATGCTCGAGCCGTGCTTCGCGTCGACGCGGAAAAACACGCACGACGCGCTCGCCAAGGCGTTGGGCCGCGCGATGTTCCCGCCGCCGCCGAAGGGCGCCGCGCCCGGGGAGAAGGGCGTCCCCGCGCCGGAGACGAAGGTGCTGCAGCACCGCATGGACGAACTCTGCGCTAAGCACGTCGCGGCGGCCATCTCCGGCAACCCGGCGTTGCCGAACGTCAGCGCGCCCAACCCGAGCCTCGCGTGCGTGCTCGCGTGCGTCGCAGCGCTGGCGGAGCGGCAACGCCGCGTCGCGGATCGCTACCTCCCGCACTTGATTAAGCTTCTGAGCCGCTTGACGCACGAGCTGAACACCGCGAGCGCGGCCGGGCAGGTGCCGCCGCCGCACCCGGCGCAGAGGCTCGCGCCGGGGGAGCAGCCTCAGGTGCCGACGCCGGAGTACGGCTCCGTCGCGCACTGCATGGCGGCGTGCGTGCGGCTGATCGCGTCTCGGGTCATCCCCGCGGGGGGCGAGCACAAGCAGCTGTTCTTGAGGATGCTCCTGCAGCTCATCAACGACCAGGCGACGCACGGCGCGGTGTTGATGGCGACGCTCGACGCGCTGAAAGGGTGGGCCGGGGACACCGTCCTCGGCGCGACGCCCGGCGCGACGGGCGCCGCCGCGGCGATTCCGACGGACGTCGGAGTCGTCGCGCTCAAGGCGGAGACCCAGGACGCGGAGGCGTCGAACGCCGCGGATGCGGCGGCGGCGGGCGCGGGCGGCGACGGCGGCGGTGCGGACGCGATGGACGTCGACGAGAAGGACGACGGCGACGGCGAAGCGGACAAGCCCAAGGGCGGGAAGGAGAAACCTGGCGGCGCGGGCGGGAAGGTCAAGCCCGGGGAGGAGAAGGGCGGCGACGGCGACGCGAACGACGCGAACGACGCGTCGGCGGAACCTAAGGACGACGGCGCCGCGGAAAAATCGAAATCCACCGGCACTGGCGGCGACGCGAGCGGAAAGGCCTCCCGGGCGGCGGACGCGCCGGATTCGGACGCGAAACCCGCCGTCCCGGACCCGGACGCGCCCGATCCGAACCGACCCGGGTCGCTCAGCGCGAAGGAAACCGTGCTGTTTCTCAGCAAGCTCGCGCACCTCACGCGTCTCGGGCGCGAAGTCACGCAGACGGCGGAGTGGGAGGAGAAACTTCTCGGAACGCTCCACGCGCTGTGCGCGTCCGGCGGCGCGCACGCGATGGCGCTGCGACAGGAAGTCTTCGTCAAGGTGGAGAGGAACCACCTCCTCGGGTTGCGGACGCGGCACCCGAAGCTCCGCGCGAAATTTTTCGAGCTCTACCACGCCGCCGTCGGAAAGACGCTGTTCCACCGTCTGCAGTACATCCTCGCCGGGCAGGAGTGGGACGCGATGGCGGACACGTTCTGGCTGAAGCAAGGCCTCGATCTGATCCTCTCCATCCTCGCGGAGGAGGAGAAGATCACGCTCGCGCCGAACAGCGCGCAGATCCCGTCGCTGCTCCCCGCCGGGGACGACCCGAAGACGACGCCGCCGCCCGAGTGCCCGCCGCGGCCGAAGAACGCCGGCCCGGCGCCGCTGGAGAAGACCGCCGCGCTGCTGGACCGTCACGCCGCGTTCCTGACGAAGATCGAGACGCTGCGAGTGAGCGACCTCGTCGCGCCGCTGCGCGAGGTGGCGACCAGAAACGCGCACGTGGCGTACTACCTCTGGGTTCTCGTGTTTCCCATCGTGTGGGCGACGCTCCAACGCGAGGAACAGATGACGCTCGCCAAGCCGATGATCGCGCTGCTCTCCAAGGAGTACCACCAGAGACAGGCCGCGGTGCGGCCGAACGTCGTCCAGGCCCTCCTCGAGGGCATATCGTTGTCGCAACCGCAGCCGAAGATACCGAGCGAGCTCATCAAGTACCTCGGAAAGACGTACAACGCGTGGCACATCGCAATCGCGCTTCTCGAGAACCACGTCGTTCGGTACCCGCAAGAGGCGCGGTGCTTCGACGCGCTCGCGGAGCTGTATCGCCTCCTCGGCGAACAAGACGTCCTTGTCGGTCTGTGGCGGCAGCGGTGCACGTCGGACATCACCCGCGCGGGGCTCGCGTTGACGCAGCACGGGCACTGGCAAGAGGCGCAGGACGTCTTTTTCCGCGGGATGCAACGCGCGAGCGCGGGGCAAGTCTCCGGGGTGACGAAGACGGAGCTGTGCCTGTGGGAGACGAACTGGCTGAACAGCGCGAAGCAGCTGAACCAGTGGGAGCTCATCTCCGACTTCTCTCGCGCGGTGGAGCACACCGAGCTGCAGCTGCACAGCGCGTGGCGAATGAACGACTGGAACACGGTCCGAGACCTCCTCCCCGCGTCGGCGGCGACGTCCGAAGTTGAGGAAACCGCGGAGATCAACATCGTGCGCGTGTACAACGCGCTCGACAGCGGACGGGTCAACGACGCGGAGCAGTACTGCAAACAAGCGGTCAAGCTGCTTCTCGACCGGTGGTGGAAGCTCCCGGAGACGGGCGCGAGCGCGCACGTCCCGGTCCTGCACTCGTTCCACGCCATCGTGGAGCTGCAAGAGTCCACGCGCATCTTGGTCGAGCTCGCCAACGCGAGGCGGCCGCAGCATCCGAACCCCGGCCACGCGCGCACGCTGATCCAAGACACGATGGAGACGTGGCGACTGCGCACGCCGAACCGCTGGGACCCGCTGCCGCAGTGGAACGAAGTGCTGACGTGGCGCGGGTACATGTACGGCGTCATCGCCGCGGCCGCGAAGGGGCTCGTGGAGGCGCACCCGCAGCTCGTGCATCAGGGGCACCAGCTGGATCAGCTCGGGTTGCGCGACCGCGCGTGGGGCATCAACAAGCTCGCGGGGACCGCGCGGCGGCATCGCATGGGCGAGGCTGCGAACGCGATCCTCACGCAGCAGCAGGGGCACATCGAAGTCCAGGAGGCGTTCTCGAAGCTGCGAGAGCAGAGCAAGGCGTGCCTAGAGATGGAGGGCGAGACGGTTACGGGGCTGAACGCGTTGGAGGGGACGTCTTTGGACTTTTTCCACGCGCATCACAAGGCTGAGCTGTTCCGTCTGAAGGCGCTGTTTCAAGAGAGGATGGGCGACGGCGACGGCGCGCACGCGTCGTACGCGACGTCGTTGTCCCTGTGCAAGCAGCTCAGCAAGGCGTGGATCTCCTGGGGCGAGTTTTGCTCGCGCCAGGCTACCGCGGCGGCGTCGAGCTCCGGCGCCGCCGGGTCCGGCGTCGCGCCCACGGCGAGCGGCTCCGGCCCCGGGAACGCGGAGGAAGCCGCGCGGTGGGCCAAGTACGCCGCGACGTGTTACTTACAAGCCGCGAAGCACGGGCCGCAGCGGTACCGCCACGAGCTCGTGAACGTGTTGCATCAGCTCGCGTTCTCCGATCACACCGCCGCGGTGGGGCGAGCGCTCGCGAAGCACCTCGACGCGATTCAACGTTGGGTGTGGATCCCGTACGTCCCGCAGCTGTTGCTCTCGCTTTTGAATCGCGAAGCCCCGCACGCGAAGGCGCTGCTCTTGCGACTCGCGCAGGCACACCCGCAGGCGATGTACTGCCCGCTTCGGACGTTCCTCTTAGAGCGAAGAGAGGCGGCGACGCGCGTGACGCAAACCGCGCGCGCGCTCGCGCAAAAGGCGCAAGAGTCCTCCGCGGCGGCGCAAAAGTTTAACGAAAACGACGCGAGCGAGGAAGCCGTCGCCGCGTTCTCGCTCGCCAAGGCGGACAAGACCGCCGCGCAGGCGGCCGCGCAGGCGGCGAACGAGGCGGGCACCGCGTTCGACGGCGCGAAGGAGGTCATGGAACGCCTGAGGCACAAGCACTCGCACCTCGTCGCGGAGCTGGAAGTGCTTCTCTCCGAACTCGGCGCGCGTTTCGCGTCTTCCCCCGAGGAGAGGCTCCTCGTCGTCGTGTACACGCTCCTTCATCGGTGTTACAAGTACCCGACCGCGACGACCGCGGAGGTCCCCGCGAGCTTCAAGAAGGAGCTCACGGGGGTGTGCCGCGCGTGCTTCAGCGCGGACACGAGCACGAAACACACCGAGTTCGTCGCGGAGTACAAGGCGGATTACGAACGCGACCTGGACCCGGAGCAGCCGACGTTCCCCACCGCGCTGCACGAGCTCATCGAGCGCTTGAAGCGCTGGAAACGACAGCTCCAGAGCGACGTCGAGGACCGACTCCCGACGACGCTCAGGCTCGAGGACGAGTCCCCCGCGCTGCGCGGGATGCGATTCGCGGAGGTTGAGGTCCCCGGGCAGCACAACGGCGACGCGGAGCTTCCCTCCGTCGATCGCTTCGTGAAGCTCGAACGCATCGGCGCGGACGTGCACGTCGTTCGCAGACACGGGTCGTCGTACCGGTGCCTCACGTTCCTCGGCGCGGACGGGAACGAGCGACGGTTCCTCGTGCAGACCTCGCTCACGCCCGCGGCGAGAGGCGAGGAGCGGATGCTCCAACTCTTGCGTTCGCTGAATCACTCGCTCGCGCACCATGTCGAGACGCGACGCCGCGGGCTGTGCTACTACACCCCCGCGGTGGTCCCGGTCTGGCCGCAGGTGCGTCTGATGGAGGACGACGCGGCGCACGGGACGTACGGTGAGGTGTACGAGATCAACTGCGCGAGGTACGGCCGCGAGCCGGACGCGCCGATCAGCGCGTTTAAAGCCGCGTTGGACGACGCGGTGACGGGCAAGGTTACGGGCGCGGAGAACGTCTTGAACCTGAGACTCAAGGCGTTCTCGGACGTGTGCCAGCAGCACGTCACGGAGAACATCTTCTCGCAGTTCATGTACAAGACGCTCCCGACCGGGTCGCACTTGTGGACGTTCAAGCGGCAGATGTGTCAGGAGATGGCGCTGTCGTGTTTCATATCCGCGTTGCTGCGGATCGGCGGTCGCACGCCGCAAAAGATTCTCTTCGCGAAGAACACCGGGAAGGTTTTCATGCTCGATTTCCACCCCGCGTTCGACAGCAAAGGGATGACCGAGTTCGTGGAGCCGGTGCCGTTCCGCCTGACGCGGAACCTGCACACGTTCTTCACGCCGTTCGGGGTGAAGGGCGACTTCGTCGCGTCGATGGCCGCCGCCGCGCAGGCGTGCGCCGCGCCCGGGACGAGCCTCGAGACGCGGCTTCTCTTGTTTTTCCGCGATCAGCTCATGTGCTGGCCGTGGCGACGGATGACCCCGGCGGCGGGGTCGAACGCGACGCCGCTCGGGCCTACGCCCGCGGACGTGCGCGCGATGGCGAGGGCGAACGTGGACGAGGTGTTGAAGCGGCTGCCGTGCATCGCGCCGACGCCGCCGCGGATGGGCGGCGGCGAGCAGCTCTCGAGCGTGCAAAAGGGGGTCATTCACCTCGTCGAAGCCGCGATCAACCCGCGGAACTTGTGCCGCATGGAGCCGACGTGGCAGGCGGCGTTTTAGACGGACGCGCGCGCATAAACGACGTACTGTACTGTACGCGTGTCATTGTTATACTACTCACTACTAACTATGCGATCGATCGACGCGACGACTCGCCGCGCCCGCGCTCTTCCCGGCTCTCTTCCCGCGGCGGGTCTTCCCCGGGCGCCGCCGCCGCCTGCCTCGCCTTCGCGTCCGAGGCGTACTTTTTCCAATCCGACGACCACACGAACCCGTACGCTATGAGCAGCTCCAACGCCGCGGCGGCGCAGCCGTACGCGTACACGCCGCGCAAGTTCGTCTTGAAGACCAAGATCATCGCCGCGACGCCGCCGACGCTCAGCGGTATGTCTACGAAGAACGACAGCACGGTCACCAGCGTCTGCCTCCCTTGCCCCGAGAAGACGCCTCCGGTGCACAGACTGTTCAACACCCCCAACGTCGTCGCGAGTAGCGCGACGGGGAGCACCTTCGCGGCGTCCCTCGCGACGACGCGATCGCTCGTCGCGAGCGACAGCACCGGCTCCGCGAACGGCGCGACGAATATTACGACGGCGACGAGCGTCGCGGACACGACCGCGGTGGACAACCAAAACGAGCGCCGCGCGGCGTCGCCGTCGCCGCGGCCGAGATGATATCCGACGCGGACCGCGATGACCATGGAAAACATCGCGTTGATCGCGCCGGACCACACGACGGTCGCCGCGGAGATGGCGCTCGTCGCCGCGACCGCGTCCGTGCCGAGCTTCGACACGAGAAGCGTCGTCGCCTGGCCGACGACGACGCCGAAGACGAGCGTCCCGACGAGCGGCGCGGCTTGCCGTAAAAACTCGACCGTGCGCGCGCGCGTGTGGTGTCGAAAAGACCACCCCCCGCGCGGCCAATACCTCTCGTGCGCCCTCCTCCTGACGAACATGTAGTACCAGTACGCCAGCGGCTGCGCGCACCGCGAACACGACAGCGACATCGCGGCGCCGACGAAACCGAACCCCTCCCACCGCCCGCGGCTCTCGCGCAGGTACCGAAACGGCCCTCCGAAGACGAAGACCCAGTTCAGCAGCGCGTTGACGAATAGAAACGCGACGCCGTTGTACATCGCCGGCCTCGGGCGCCCGACGGCTTGGAAATAAAACCGCATGCACTGATACCAGCCGTTCGGCACGGGCCAGAACACGTTCCACCGTGCGTACTCGCCCGCGAGCGCGCTGATTGCGGGGTCGAACCCGAGCCCGAGGAGCGCGTCCTTCACGAAGAAGAACCCGACGAGCGTCGGCGTCATCGTCACCGCGAGCCAGAAGACGCTCTGCTGCAGCCAGACGCCCGCGACGCGCTTCGCGCCCGCGCCCGCGGCTTGCCCACACAACGCGTTCAAGACCTGGTTGAACGCCAGCGGAGGGACGACGAGGAGCGTCGTGAGCATGTCGCTCAGCGCCGCCGCGGCGAGGTAGTCGCCGGGCGAGTGTTTCCCTCCTTTGTAGTGACCGACCATGATCGCGTCCGTGGACGCCATGGCCATGCGGCAGAAGTAGCTCACGAACATGGGCCACCCGAGCGTCCATATCGCGCGGAGCTCTCGCGCGTCGTCGTACGGCACGTTCTCCGCGTCGTCGTCGTCGTCGTCGTCGTCGTACGGCACGTTCTCCGCGTCGTCGTCGTCGTCGTCGGCGGCGGCGGCGTCGTCGTCGACGTCGACGACGTCCGCGTCTCTCGAGACCCCGAGCAGCGGCGCGGTGAGCGCCGCGGCTTCGTCGTCCTCGCCGTCGTCGTCGTCCGCGCGCGTCTCCTCGAACGAGACGCGCTTCGTCTCTCTCGAGCGGATCTCGTCCCTCTCCTCCTCCTCCTCCTCCTCCTCCGCGCGCAGCAGCGGCGCTTCGAGGTCGTCGTCCTCGCGCGGACCGGATGGCGGAGACGCCGCCGCCGCCGCCGCCGCCGCGGGGCGCCGGCGGCCGCGCCGTCGCCCCATGACGTCCCCTCGAGTCGCGTGCCGCGCGCGGCGCCCGACTGACCACGGAGGCAGAAACGCGTCGACGACGACCCGGCCGTTCTCTCCAACGTGTCGTCACATTTAATCGCGCGACACGACTCCGACGCCATGGCCAACGGGATCGAGATCAAGGAGGTCCAGAACCTCCAGACGAAGCTCTCGTCGCTCATGGACGAGCTCGATCACAAGGTGTTCCGTCCGTCGCAGAAGCAGGTGTTCCAGTGCTCGATCAAGTGCACGGAGGCGCGAGCGACGACGCAGGCGGAGTTCCACGATTGCCTCTCCCAGTGCAGCGCGCCGCTGCAGCGCCACGAGGCCGCGGTCATGAGCGAGCTCCAGGAGTTTCAACACCGCGTGCAGCGATGCGTGCAGCAGTGCCAGGACAAGCAGGCGACGACGCAGAACCAGTCGCAGTTCGAGCGCTGCGTGAGCGACTGCGCGGTCTTCTACCAGAAGGAGCTGGGCGCGATGCGTCCGAAGCTGCTGAAGAAGTCATGGCCGTGATCGCGATCGTGACGATCTTCCGCACTTCGATCGCGCGCGGCGCCGCGCGCGCGTCATCAGCCCTAGCAGCAGCGCCCGCGCGATGTCGTCGCCGGTCGTGATCCCGCACCGCCCGCGCCACTTCTTCAGCGTGAAGAACCACCCGCTCTCCGGCGTGACGACGCCGCAGTGGATCCGTCTCATGCGCGACCACGGGTCGCACGTCGAGATCGCGACGTACTTCCCGCGCCTGATCTTCCTCACGATCATGTCGCTCGTCAACACGATCGGCGCGATCGCGGACTCTGTGCTCTACGGCCGCGCGATCGCGTCGCAGGAGCTGAACGACGAGCCCGTGTTTATCCTCGGCCACCCGCGCACGGGGACGACGCATCTGCACAACCTGCTCTCTCGCGATCCGTCCTTCGCGTTCGCGACCACGTTCAGCGTGGGGTTCCCCTCGGGTTTCCTCTCCTGCCGTTGGCTCGCGCCGTTCATGGGCGCGATCATGGACGACACGCGGCCGATGGACAACATGGCGTTATCGCACGACACCCCGCAGGAGGACGAGGTGGCGACGAATCAGCTCAGCGGCGGCGCGTCGCCGTACATGCCGCTGATGTTTCCCAAACGCGAGGCGCTGTTTCGGCGGTGGTACAGCATGAGGGACGGCGCGTCGAGCGCGGAGATCGCGCGGTGGAAGGAGTCGTTTCTGTATTTCCTGCGAAAGACGCAGTACGCCGCGGGGGGGAAGCGCAAGAGGCTGCTGTTGAAGTCGCCCGTGCACACCGCGCGCGTCGACGTCCTGCGCGAGATGTTTCCCAAGGCGCAGTTCGTCTTTATCCATCGGAACCCGTACGAGGTGTTTCAGAGCGCGGTGCACATGGCGGACGCGTACTACTGGCAGTGTTACTTCCAGGTCCCGAGCGCGGAGGACGTGCAGGAGTTCATCCTGTATCAGGGCGAGTATCTGCACGACGCGTACGAGAGGGACATTCGAAAGGTGAAGAAAGGGAACAAGCACGAAGTGCGGTTCGACGAACTGAATAAAGACCCTCTCGGGACGCTGCGGGCGCTGTACGACGCGTTAGGGTGGAGCGCGAACTTCGCGAGCATCCGCCCCGCGATCGAGTCGTACGCCGGGTCGCTGAGGGATTTCAAGATGAACGCGCACGCGCGTCTGAGCGAGGAGGCAAAGGAGGTGGTTCGCGCGCGGTGGGGGAATTGGTTCAAAGATTTGGGATACGACGAGTAGGCGGCGGGCGCGCCGTCTCCGCGCGCGTCGTCGATCGGTCGCGTCGCGAAGGTTTCGTAGTTAAAATTAATACTGTAGTTTGGTAGATGCCGCATCGTTCGAGGGTAAAATGCATTCTCTCGTTTGTTTACAACGGATCGAACGAACGCGCGCCGCCGCGCCCCGATCCCCCCGCGCGCCTCTCTCGTCCTCCCCCGCCCCGTTCGCGTCCGTCCCCTCGTCTCGTCATCACTGCAGCGGCTCGTCCGCGTAGTCGTCCTCGAACGCGTCCGAGGGCACCTCGTACGTCCGGATGATCGGCTTGTTCGGGTCCTTCACGAGCAAATACTTCCCGTCCTCCATCTTCATGCACGACTCCACGATGCTCTTGAACACGCCCCACATGTTCCCCTCCGTGAGGTTGATCTGCTGCGCGAAATCCTTCGGCTTGTACGTCTGCGTGTTGACGATCTCGTGATGCCCCGGGTCCTTCGGATGCGTCCTGGTCACGAACCCGAGCTTCATCTGGTCCGCGCCCGCGAGTAACGCGTGGCACGTCCACTTCGCGAGCTTGTTCGCGTTGTTCTTCAGCTCCGTGGCGATCACCGCGCCGCGTTGCGTCTCGATCTTTTGCCGCCAGTCCACGCCCGTGATTTTCGAATCGTACTCCGTGAGCGCTCGAATCTGAAGCAGCGCGCGCGAGCCTTTGCTCTCGACGACGCCGTTGAACTCGCACCGCGCGACGAGCGTGATGCCCGGCGCGACCGCCCACTTCCGGTAGCGGTACCCCACCGGCGCGGCGTCGTCCCCCGCTAGCGGCGACGGCGAGCCAAACGAGAGCGGCTTCTCCGAGAGGTCCAACGCCTGCTGCGAGTAATCGTGATCCGCCGCGGTGGACTCCGCGCTCAGCTGAGGAACGCCGTTGATGTTGTCCTTCTCGTCCGTGATGAGCTCCTGGCCAGTCTCGCTGACCGTGAGCATGTCGAAGTTGCCCTCGTCGCGCTTGTCGAAGAAGAGCTTGCCGTCTTTTTTCGTGACGACGAGGTCCCACCCGTAGACGCTCCGCGCGGCGCACATGATCGCCGCGACGATGTCCCCGGTCGCGAACACGTTCCCGGCGTTCTTCTCCGCGAGCTCGCACAGCGTCGGGTCCTCGCTCGTGGTGACGCGGTGGTGCATCAGCTTCGTCTTCTGAAGCTCCGCGGGAAGTTTCGGCGTGAGGCGATCGAACGATTTGTCGAACCAACGCAACGACCCGTGCTCCGCGAGCGTCTCCGCCTCGAGCGTCGCCCCCTTCTCGCCATTGACGTGCTGCATCTTCGTGAGACCCGCGAGCTGGATCTGCTCGAGCACCGCCCAGTCCGGGCGGATGTCCACGCTCGAGGAGTACGTCTGCTGGTCCCGCCCCCACTGCTGGCGGTTGTGCGCCCACGTGTTCCACTGCTGCGATTTCTTCGACTGCATGCGTTGCTGACGCGCGCGCTCGCGCGACGCGCCCTGGCCGACGTCGCCGCCGACGAACTCGGTCTGGTTCCGCCGCATGAACCCGCCGCGGCCGCCCTGGAACCGACCGCGCCCGCCGAAGCGCGTCCGCGGCGCGGGCTTGTTGTCCACGAGGGAAAACTCGGCGTCGTCGTCGTTGGCGAAAAAGTTGAACACGGTGCTCACGCCCTGCGAGGAGCCGTGCCTCGTGCCGCTGTACTTGCCGTACCCGGTCTGGTTCCAGTCCGCGGCTGCGAGGAAGAAGGTCGAGGAAGGGGGGGGGTAGGTAGGTCGACGAGGGGGGGCGGGCGGGGTCAGCGCGACGTTTCGCGGCCGCGATCGGCGACGAGGAGAGAGGGAAGAAGATCGACCAATCCGATCGATAGATCTAGGGTTGGCGGCGAGCGCGAGCGACGGAGGGAGAGAGAGGGCGAGACGCGAGGCGCACCGCGGCCGAGCTTGTCCGATCGCGTGAACGGCGCGTACGTCAGCGCCTTGTCCGGGTCCGCGGACTCCGTGGGAGGGCCCCACATGTCCGTGTCCGCGCACTGCGGGACCGTGAATACCATGCCGGCCGTGCGATGCGTTCGCGCGCGCGGCGGAAGAGGCCGATCGGCAAAAGGCGGCGTCGAGCTCGTGCGGCTCGATGAGCAGATAACTGATCGAGGTCCAGGATGCAAACAAGTTCATCGGTAAGTTGAAAGAGGGCGCGATCAAATATTGAAACCGAGTGGTGGGTGAAAAACGTGTGGTCTGATCGCGCGAAATCGCGCGCATATTTTTTCCCCGAATACCCGGTAATATAATCTCGTCGCGTCGCGTCGCGTCAGTGCGAGAGGCGCGGCCGCGCGGCGAGCGGCTCGCGACCGCGTCCACCCCCGAGGAGGCGCGCGGTCGCGGTCGCGACGCCGCACCGCGCGCGACGCGATGCCGCGCACCAAGGCGGTCGTCCGGAACCTCCCCCCCGACCAAGACGCGTCGTCGTTCTTCGCCTCCGTCGACGCGAGCGGGTTCGACGGAACCACGTGCGCGTATCGCGACTTCGTCCAAGGGAAGCGCAAGACGCGCGTGGTGATCCCGTCCGTCGCGCACGTCGGGTTCGACACCGAGCGCGCGCTGTTCGACTTCGCCGCCGCGTTCGACGCGAGGGCGTACGACGACGCGTTCGGCGGGGAATGGCGCGCGAGGGTGGAGTACGCGCCGTACCAAAAGATCCCGCGACTCAAGCCGCGCCTTGACAAGCGCGAGGGCACGATCGAGCGCGACGCGGACTATAAAAAGTTCGTCGAAAAGCTCGCGGAGGACCCGGTCGCGATGCAGAGCGCGGAGGTGTTGCTGGACCGGAGGGAGCGCGAGAAGAAGGCGCTGGAGCGCGCGAACGGAGGGAAGGCGCCGGTGCGACTGAGCGCGCTGATGAAGCATCTCATCGCGAAACGCGAAGCCGAGCGGAGCAAGCTCGAGCGGAAGAAGAAGAAGGCGAAGGCGAGGAAAGAGAAGGCGGCCGCGGGCGGCGGCGGCGGGGATCGAACCGGCGGCGGCGCGGGGGGCACCGCGGAGGACGAACGGACGTTAGGGAAGAAGGCGAAGAAGTGGGCGAGGAAGAAGGCTAAGGAGGCGGAGGCGGCGGCGGCGGCGGCGGCGGCGGGTGGGAAATCGAACGCGAACGCCGCCGGCGGAGGAGGGAAGGGGAAGCGACCCGACGCGTCCGAGAAGCAGACGCAGAAGCTCATGCGACGCATGACGGTAAACGACGGCGGCGGCGGGGATCGAACCGCCGGCGGGGTCCCGAAGCCGAAGAGCGGCAGCGGGAAGAGGGCGGGCGGGGGAGGAAAGGGCGGCGACGGCGGCGACGCCGCGCAAACGCCGGCGGCGATGAAAACGCCGAAGATCCTCGCGCGGCCGCAGACGACCTCGACCGCGCCCGCGCCCGCGAACGGCGGCGGCGGCGGGGTGGGCGCGAGTAAACCCTCGAAGAAGAAGGCGAGGCCGGACGTGCAGATATATGTCGCGCCGGGCGCGCGCAAAGGCGACGGCGGCGGCGGCGGCGGCGGCGGCGGCGGCGGCGGAGAGAAGGGCGGCGTCTCCGCGCCGAAACCCGGCGGCGGCGGCGGCGGTGGGAACAAGAAGCATAAGCACCCACCGCGAGCGAAGGGCGCCGTCCCCGCGCCGAAAGTAGGATGACGATGTAACGAGCGCGCGCGATAGAACCAACCGCGGAACCGAACCACGACGAGTCGACGTCGTTTCTCGGACGACGCGAAAAGGATAAAGGAGCGCCGCGCCTCGCGTCGTCGCTCGACGCGCCGCCGCCGCGGCGAAGCCGCCGCATCTCCGCGCGCGCGACGCACGCCCGCGACGCGAACTTCCTCCGTTCGACTCGCGCGCCCCCCGCCGACGATGTCCTTCACGACGACGCGCGCGACGACGCGCCGACGCGG